ACCCTTACAGCCTCTCCCGATTCCGGCAGAGTGTTGGCAGTCCGTATCGATGGACTTCGTCTTCGGGTTTCCTAAAGACGTTCACAAGAATACTGTTTTTCTTTAATTTGTTGATCGATTCAGTAAGATGGTACATCTTGTTGCTGAACCGGGGTCAATCACAGCCCAGGGCTGTGATCGTGTCTTCATCGATGCTATCTTACGACTTCACGGGTTACCCCATGAAATCGTGTCTGACAGACACCCCCGCTTCACAGCGGAGTTCTGGCAATCCGTGTTCTGTTCACTTGGAAAACGTTTGAAGATGTTAACTTCTGACCATCCATAATTAGATGGTGAGACAGAACACATCAACCGCGTCCTCGAAGAGATACTTTGAGGGTACGTCCACTCGTTGCGAGTTTGAGGAAATTCTTGCCGATGGCGGAATTCGCCATTGACAACTCGGTGCATGCGTCGTCGACGCATGCACCGTTCTTCGTGAATGGCCTACGCCATACACATTTACCTGCCTTCTTAGTTTGTGACTTTAGTTTAAGGGGGATGAACTCGCTCAAACAAAAACTGATCGAATTATTGCCCATCACCCGTCGACAATGGTGTCGACGTGATGGATGCCGATGTCGATGCGATCGATATCGATGATGATGATGACGACGATATTGGCATATTCATTATCGCCATGACTGCCACAGTGAGGAATATGAAGCCCTCACAGATAAAAACAACCATATTTTAGCTGTGTGCACAAAGCGCACTACTGCTGACAAGGATGAGTCAGCAGGGAATTTCTGCTAACTCTCGATGTGGTTGTCCGCTTGTTCAAGACTCGATTGTAGATGCAATAGACAAGTAGAAAAGAAACGCAGACAAACAAGGAGGATCAAATGCTCTTTCATTTATTGAAGGAGGATTAGTCTTACTGTCTACAGTAATTATACCAAAACACGCAGTAAACAACGTGGGAAGCAGCAAAAACTGCCCAAATATATCGGTCCGTTTGTTGTATTGCGCCGCATGGGCAATGTACACACGATTGAACTGCCTCGTAGTATGCGTACGCATTCTAAATTCTTCGTTGGACGTCTCCGCCCGCACTATCAGTACGAGCCCTTTTATAGAGGCGAAGAACACCTCCGCGGTCAAGGGCCGAGATGAACTTTGAGTGGTCCCGTTTCAACGAGCCAATTTGGTCTACTAGCGAAGCAACCTGCGCACATAGTTGATTGGTGTCCTGGCAAGCTGCAGCCATCTCTTCACAAAGAGAACGAACTGAGCGTTTGTTCTCAAGTTGCGCGAACGCAAACGCGGCGCGATAATTCGAACTTCGTGCGGTAAGGAGCTGTAATTGTCCTTTTTAATTTCATGAAGCTCATCACACCGAGTCCGTTCATGCGTCAAGTCATTGCGTAACTGTTACGTTACACAGCTCAGCTCCTGAACATCAAACTGATCCGACTCTTGAGCCGGATCAGGTGTTCCCGCCGCTACCATATACTTTGGTATATTTTGGAGGTAGGAGACGCTTTCTGGTGGAGCACATTTTGAACGACCGCGACGTAAAGGGCGTCCAGACGAGTTAATACGCCCGCTGGCATGGGTAACTTCCTACCTGAGACAGCTAAAAGCCTCGCACCCAGCTGTTTTTGACGTTTTGAATCTCATCGAGGAATGTGACGAGACCCACCCGCTGCGTTTAAAGAAGGGTTGCTGGAAAACGACCTCCCCGAACGCGAGTAAAGGGATTGCAAAGTGTCAATACCTTTGGCCATCTCAGTAGAGATGCGCGCTATCCAGAGGGAGGGACGATTAGGGAGGTAGGCCTCTCCAGGGAAACAATTTGCATCTTCCAGGCAAATTGGACATGGATCGTCCCACAAGAGACAGAATAATCCTGACTCTCTCGACAGTCGGTGCAACTTGTAAATTACACCGGCTGGGTTACGTTTTTCAAACCTGATGCGAGCTGCATCAAGTCTGTCGAGCCAGGCCTCTAGGCCAATACACTCGATGTTATGGATGAAGGCATTCCATTCCTGCACCAAGGCCTTACCGTCGCGGCCACTGTTGCCGTTGTACCACCGATGATTGATGATAAAATCGGTACAGAGCTCCTCCTCAGCTCGAATATTTATCGTGCTGGAATTTAGAGGGCAGATCCTCCTACAGTCGAACAAAGGGATTCGATCTAGCTTGGTAGTCATATCGGCCACTCGATCTAACTCCTTGGATGATGGCATCTAAGAAGACTCGGATTGAGGAGGATAGACCTGGAAATTGAGGTTACTGGCCTCTTGCGCGGTGTCAGCCTGAGATCTGACACCAATAGAAGCTCGGTCCCTCGAGTTGCTTCTCTAGTGGTGACGTTTAGATGCGTCACCACCATCACCACGCGTCCTATTGCAGATATACTTGCGTGAGGCAAGGATTCTTAAGACAAATCGCTCGGTCCGAATATCTCGGACATAATGCCGCCAAGTGCCCCAGAGCCAGTCAACCTGGCTCTGGCAGTGTCCACTCCGAATGATCCGGGGGCAGAAGGGTCCACCTTCAAGTAGGATGCATCATCCGACTCGCCAGATAAGTTCTAATTCAGGCTCATCCGCATTGCGAGTTGCAGCACCCGCTGCAGACGCAGAGGATGCATTTTTCACACGTGGTGACCCACCACATGGACTATTCACAACAGACACCGCCTGTTGCGAAACTAAACAGCAGGTGAACGATCACAAGCTGCTGAAGCAAGAGAATATTTCTCTCCGGCTGCACGCACGCAGGCATCCGCCTTTATGGCATTTTACGGCAGCGCTCTGCATGGACTTCTAAATTCAATGGAATTGGCAAATGTTTGAAATTTGACCATCAAGTCCCCCCCCCCGATCCAGAATGATCTACGGGTGATCACCCTGTTCCCAATCAGTTTAAACTAAATCACCGGGGAAATTTTTGGCTAAGGGGGGTGATGTGTAACGAGGTAGCCCGCTCCATGATATTGACATTAAACGGTGTCAATAGGGAGGTTGTACAGCGTCGCAAGTCCCTGCTAATAATTATCGAGATAGGTAATATTGAAGGATTATTACTCCTAGGATAATATTCACGTGCTGCTCGAAGATTGATTGATAAAAAAACATGTCAACCAAGATTGTCACGTATCGCTGCTACGCGCGTAATGAGTGGTGAGCAGGTTGTCGTCATACGACAATGTCGGTTAATATAGTTCGATCAAAACTAAAGTTATATTGATAGCTTAACTATATTAAATACAGTTCTCTTTTTATCTAAACTAAAACTAGTAGTTCAAGTAGATTTACCTTCCTCTGTACGTACGAGTGTACGTGAAGTTTCGTGGTATTCCTAACAAAGGATGACCCGTAACAAAATAAGCCTCCTAACTTAGACTAGTGATTTAAGTAGATTTAATTCCTCTGCACATACGAGTGTACGTGTAGTTCCGTGGCACCCAAATCAAGCATGCCTCATTACACACAACGAAAGATATGACACCTACGGCAGTGCTCACTTCGCTCTTCCCTTGGATGTTGTTTAACGCGATACACGTGGTAGTAAGATCACTAATTCTACTATTTTCTTCGTCTTAAATCACTAGCTATCTACCGACAGCACGAATGGTTTCCACCTTAGCAAATGTTTGTATGATGGATCTGTGACACGCTTTAAATCACATCTTTCGCAATTAGCACAACTTCCTGCGAGAAGAGCAGCTAGTAAGAAGAAGATTAAAAATCGTGGCCGAGTAAGAAATATCGGTGGTGTACAGCAGCAAATGTGTGGTTCAAAAAGTGACTGTCAGGTGGGTGTTCATGGTCGTCGATACTGATTCTGGAATAAACGATTATAATAGTTGCTTTGACACCAATTTTCTGGTTTGGACCAGTGGCGGTGATTGATAATGGTTAACAAAATGGTTTTGACTATCGGCAATCATTGTAAGGGTGCCTAACCAAAGGTTATACCATTGTCAATGATGTCAAGACAACTACACAATACTTTGAGGCATTGGCAAGGGTTTTAGGGTCTTAAGCAATTCTGGATCAAAATTGACAGTGGTTGTCGACGGTCGTAATCAGTGCTGGATCAACATTGGCGATGGTTGTTTCGGGATTAAACAATGAATGTAAGCAATTTTTACTGGTATACGCAATGGTCCGACCTGTGAAACTTTCCGACCTACCAGACCTGACGTTACGTTCATTTATGGACAGTCTTTGAAATTGATAGCAGTCTATCGTCGACGTTTGCAGCTCATAGTATCCGGCACACGGCTGTCTTTATGTGTAATTGTCGACCAAGCAAGAGAAAGATGTTGTCGTCCTTAACGATGGTGTTCGTCCAACGAACTTCTTCGAGACCGCAAAGCTGCTGCGCATACTCCTGATCCAAGCGTTTGGCAGGGGACAGAAGAACGAAGATGACTCCCTCCAGTGTCGCGGGGCAGCGTGCGCTCACAGATGTACATATCTTTCCGTCCGGTTCAATTCTTCCTTGTGCAGAAGCACTCGCTGATATATGACCTTGTCAAAAGATCACAACGTCCCTGTGCTTTTCAAAGCCAAAGTGCAATGTAAAGCATCATGTTTAAAATCGGCATTCGAGCGGCTTGCAAGCTAAACTGCTAATCCTGCTTGTGTACGGGTCGATCTGCGGCAGCTCAGCTGTATAGCAAGTGTCAGCACTTCTGATCCCAACACACCAAAGAAATCACACACACACCGAGTCAACAGCGCACGGTACGATTTGGCCATCAAAACTGACCAAACATTTTTCCTGGCGAAAAACAAGTCCGAAAATCGGGTTTTCTCGTCCGTTAGTCAGTCGTTCAGTGGATCAGCTCGATGATTTTTATGCGACCCTGCATCTCCACCATCGTTGTATTTTTCTACAAACCCCTTCACCACCTCCAATTGGCTGAAAATCCGACTCAGTAAACAAAGGACTCTACTCCCTCCCCAAAAGCGCTTGCCACATACTCTCGGTCCATGTCAAGCAGCTCGTCCAGTGACTTCTCGGACGAAGACACGGAGGCGCCCGGGCTCAGTCCAGCGCCTCCGTCTGCACTCGAGCTCAGCCAAATGGTGGAACTAGCTCAGGTATGCTCGTTCTGTGCCACATTTCGCGAGCCCCTGCGTCTCCCGAGCTTTTCGCGAACGGTAAGCGTCAGCTCTGGAATTTCTTGCGGTCACGTGTATAGAGCGTTCCTGCAGTAGGTTCTCGGCACCGAAGGTAACGGGGAGAGACGCAGATCTGTCCACAGACATTAGGAGACGCCAGCTGTGCCCCGTATCTTCTACGCTTCGGAATCGTCTGCAGAGCGCCACTCTGGATTCAAGAGCTCACGAAAGTGTTATGATTGGTCTTGTCGACTATTAGGAGCTTCAGGAGGCGTTGCTCAGTGCTTCCAACGGCCATATACTTCATGTAAGCTTATGAATACAATGTGGTAGACAACGGGCTTGCGGTAGCGGTTCATAATGACGTTCTGACGGGCTTGCAGATCGAACTGTTGGCGGAATTGCACTTCAAGTTGGCACGTGAACACCCAACGGCCAAAATGGAGAAAATGTGCGTAGGCGTTGTTGGATGGAGCACGACAAGACTGTGGAGGCAATAGTTGTATCGGGAGACGTGCTAATTGGTCTTGTGTCGACACAGGGTGCAAGACTGGGAGAAGGCTTTGGCTCGGAAGTTGCAGGACAATTGGCGCAAGGACTTCTCGACAAATCCTATGCGTGGAAGTATAATGTATCAAGATTTGACAGTGTTGGATCGGGTGAGTAGCGCGCTTATTTTTCATGTGCAAGTGTTGGTGTTCGTGTATTGAGTCGATTGTGATGGGGATGGCAGGTGAAAATTCTAGTCGCTTTGTGTCATTGGAAGCTGGACACGTGTGGAGAGATTCAAAAACACATCGCAACGCTTCAGAGGGATAACGATAACGAGGCTATAAAGAGTTTGGTAAGTCGGGAGCGAAAAATGTTCGGCGAAATCTTATTCTGTGGTCTAACCATTAAGCTTGTGGTTGACGATTATAGCGAGCAAGAGAGATAGGGACAGATGATAAGGGTGTATCATATTGGTACTTTGGTGACGAAAGTTGGGTGTATGCTGAAGATAAACCACGATGGCAGCTTGAGGAACGGTACGTCGCTTTGCACCTGTATGACGTTGCAGCCATGAAACCGGTCTAACCTTGAACGTATGCCCATAAAAGAAAGCCGTCGTATCTCGTGGAATTTGCTAGCGCTAAACGAATTCGACTATCAGTTAATTTTGATCCGGACTATAACGCGTCGGCTCTACCTCTTTGCTCGCCACAACAGGCGATGGCAGTGTCTGACAAAATCGATTGCGGAGAAAGAGCAGTAAAGGAGATGTCTTTGGATGGAATAAACGATGACAATAAGCGGATTCTTAAATCAGCGACTATGGAAGGCGGTATTGTGCCATCTGGGGCAGTGAAGTTGAGGAATGATCACTTGAAAGCTGAAGTGGTGAAGCTTGAGAAAGAAGTAGCATCATCGGTGTCAGTTGTCGAAGCAGCTGGTTTTGTAGCAGATGAAAAGACTGTGGTTGTCAAAGCTGAGTCCTCGATTACTACTGAGACACGAGTTTACGGGGGAATGAGCAATGGTGTGGTGTCTCAATCCAGTGACGCTAGAGACGGGAAGTGTGAAGTTTTCTCTCCTGGCGTGATACTGTCTTCGCGTAAGCAGGATGATGAAGGCCTAATCGAAACAAGAGACGGGGAAAAAGTTGCTTGCGCACAGTCTACCGTAGCCAAAGATGCGGCATCACACACTGGGTTGATGCAAATCCTGGCTACAGCACCAGACCTTGGCGCGGCTGTCCCAGGCAACTATGGCACGAAAGACGCTATTGCGAAGAGGGAAAACAGTGATGTCGAAAGCTCAGGAAAGGTTTTAACAGTTAAGGCAAACGACGATAGATCAAGCGATCTGGTCCGCCCATGCGCTGTGCCCAACTTAATAGGTAAAAAGCGCACTATCGTTGATGACGACAGCAGCGATAGCGACGAAGGATTAACGAGTAATGAAAAGGCATCTGACAGGGCGTCACAATCTCCAACACCACAAAAAAAGCGTAAAGCTAGCGTTGAAATCGCTCGAAGTGCAACACTTCTGGACGCTGTAAAGACTGAGAGCGAACCGATGATGTTGCGGGGTGGGCAAGTCAATGGAGTGGTTGCCTTTCAAGCTCAAGGAGTCACAGCGGGTATGAATGAGACGTCCTCATCAGCACGTACTGACCTCGTCACAACTGTCGCGATTGATCGGAAGGAAAGGGGCATGCGGAAAGCTGACGTTAGGCCAGTATCTTTGCATACCCTAGAAGCAAGTTCGTCATCTACAACGAATACGGACATAGGGGTGGCTTCTGTAAGCAAAACATCCAGCGTGGCAATTGGCCTTGTAAACTTGCCGGGGACTGTTTCAATGTCGCCGACAGACCCAGCTGCGGCACCCGAAATGTTTGATATTACCTGTGAGAACTGCAAAAAGTGCTATGACATGAGGTACCTCGACCCTCCTTTGGTAGAACGTCCGTCAGATGAATGGCGGTGTTTTGAATGCCTTGTGAATGATGCTCGAGGCTGGCCTCGTCGGCGCAAGTCTATTGCGAGAGAGCCCTTTCCACCCAGAGCGCGTGGTCGTGCACCAGAGCTTTCATTTCGAAAGCGAGGTTCATCGTCAACGCCTCAAGTCGGGTCTTTATCGTCAAAGAATTCGAAGAAAAGCTATCGCAAAAGCCATGCCAGCTCATCTTCGCAATTGAGAAGCAGTCACAGCAGATCTTCCGGACGGAAGACGTCGGATAGCAAGAGCAGCATCAGTAGGAAATCCTCTTCATCATCTGTGAGGAAACACAAAAGGCACAAGTCGTCATCGTCTTCGCGTCATCATCACAGTAGCAGTCACAGCCGTCGCCGAAGGCGCCACAGCCATCGTTATTACGATGAATTTGCGAGGCTTTTTCAGTTGTTCTGCGAGCGACAGGAGCAGCGTCTTGGTATCGAAAATGCCCGAATGAACGGAATTCAGCAGGTGGCTTGTGACGAAGGTGTCCACGGTTGGAGAGTGGCTAGCTCAAAACTTGATGATCTGCGAGTTTTGATCCAATCACTCTCGGGAGGATCGCTTGAACAAGACCGGCTGCGAGGACGCCTGATCTTGATCGTAAAGGATCAAGAGAAACTCGAGGACCAACGGCGCAAAGAACAAGAGCTTGCTTGGAATATTCTTCCACGACGGCAGTCGTCCCGCATTGCAATCGGGAGAATGAAGAATCAATCCGCTGAGGACTCAGATGTACGTGCTATTGATGTTGTGCTATCAAGTGAGTCGACCTTATCGATGCTTTCGCTGTCATGCAGGCGAAGGATGGGTACTCTGACGACGACTTTGAAGCTCGACGCCCCGGGTTGCGGTCAAGAAGACCGCAGTCTACATCAAATGGCGATGTCAAGCAAAGTCAAGATCGGTATGCTTGTGTTCGCTCGTGATGGAATTAGCAATAGTGCTGACGCTAATAGCGTCTTTGTCTGCTGGTATGTAGAGCATGGCGGGCACGGAGACGGCGTCAACCTTCAAATGATGATTTGGATTCAAAGGAGAATGAGATGGGCAACAGTGGTACTGGAAATTGGGTGGACTGGTCTATGTTGAAGGTGTGTGCTTCGACACTCGAATCAGGACGATGCGACTTAATCGGCAACTAACGTGTGTATTGTTTGTGGCAGCGTTCTAAGGACAATGTATGCCGCCTTTCGGTCGTCTGCCTCGCGCTCGTCAACAGGCTATTGAAGGAAGAAGTTTCGGTTAGCTGAACTAAGTACGTGGGGTTGACATACGGCATTGAGGTTCTTACTTTTTGCTGCACGTAGGAAATGTTTTCCCGACCAGTGGATCCGGAGCTTGATGGCTGCCCGAATTATTTGTCCGTGATTGACCAACCGATGGATCTCGGTACGATTCGATCGCGTGCAAAAGCCAAGCTCTACCGGGTAAGCAAATATAGTGCTGGGGTGTGCTTTGGCTGTTTGTCGGATGATTAATCTGGTTCGTGGTTGTTGCTTGATGCTAGAAATGGGGTTTATTTAAGAAGGACGTCGAACTGGTTTGGCAAAATTGTCGTACATTTAATGCACCCAACACAATGGTAGTGCAGTTTGCTGCCTTGCTCGAAAAGTTGTCGCGCTCGATGTACGTTGCTGCAGAGAGGAAAGGAGTGGATCGATTAAGCGGCGAAAGAAACGAAGGATGTGACGGAAGTGAAGACGATAGTGAAAAAAACAGTTTGAGCGACTCGGGCAAAACTGAATTCCGTACCAGTGTCAACAAAGCATGGACTGAAAGCAGTGCCTCAGAAAGCCATGATTCTAGTCCCGATGACGCATCCTCTGATGACGGCGATGCGCAGGGTCGCAAGCGAAGACCAACACGTACGCTGGTAACGAAGAAAACTCGTGCGCGATCTACGAGATCGAGGGGTGTCACCAGCCGGACTAGGCGGAGCACGCGTAGTCGTTCCACTAAGAAGCGTTCTGCACCTACTTCAAGCAGCGAGGAGTCTTTTGCTGACAAAGACGAGATGTCACCATCTCCTGTGCGAAAGACTCGGCGTCAGCTTCGGGGGTCATTACCCAAGACAGGTTGTAATGCGGACCCTCCAACTGAAAGTGAGGACTCTAGCGACGATGACGGTGCAAACAGCCAGCCCGCACCGTCTCGAAAGAAAGCCATGACGCCTTCCTCGCCACCTCCTCCTCCGCAAGCGGCACAGAAGCGGCATAAGCCTCGACTGGTCATAAGTGATACTTCAGACTCTGACGACAGCTCCAGCAGCAGTGACGATAGCTTATCTACATCGTCAACCTCGGACTCAGATGACTCGGACAGCGACGGACAGTCGCCAAACAACCGACCCCAGCCACCTTCGCCGTCTGCAGCCGATGTTTCTGCTCCGCCGCCACCGTCGACTCCTCCACCTGCTGTTTTGTCGGACGATAACAATTTGTCCATGCGATCGACACCGAATCATACTCCCAAGTCGAAAAGTGAAGCAAAGAAGACGAAAACGGCGTCTGCAGCAAAGCCTGGCTACATGCACTCCCCGCCATTGTTGAATTCGTATCTCTCGCCGTCGTCGTCGTCGTCGTCGTCCGACTTTTCTTCTGGTGGCAGCGATTCTAGTGACGGCGATAGCGACAGCGACTGAGTGAGCGAACAGGTAGTTTGAAATATAATAGGGGTCTTGAATGGCAAACTGCACATAGCGTTACAGTCTGCACAAGCACTGCAAGACGAAGAGGTTAAACGTAATGGTTCGGGACATCATCAACTCTTCCAACAACATGATGATATTCCAAACATGTCCAGCGCCGTAAAACACGAAGCGAGTTTAATCAGCTCCGCTTATCCGAAACACCAAGTAGGTTTACCAAAAGTAGATCATGTACAACAGCAGTAAGAACACACCGAGGTAGCTGAGGTTCACTTTGCTGGCGAGGAAGCGAAAATTAAACCGGAAGTAGACAAAGGGGCTCGCAGGATCCACTTCCAAGTTATCTTCGAGCCGTTTGCCATGGTATGGATTTGTGAATCCAAACTTCGCGTTGAGCCATGTCGAGACTCGGTACGAAAGACGCACGAGCCACACCACCTCGTACGAACAAATGGGACGAAGCATAGGATCACCGATGTACTGCGCCGTATCGGCGGAGCATAACCGCATCCCATGCTGCAGCTGGAAAACCCCCTCACGCGAAAGCAAGTGCGGTAGCTTTTTGTCCCGGTTTGGTGCCAATGATTCCATACTGCTACCGGTAGAAGTAGCCGACGATCGCGAGTGCGCAGTTGAGGCGACATAGGCATCTGAGATTTCGAACACCCGCCGCAACATGCGGCTCAAGCGTTGTACTTGCTCCGCCACTCCATCAACTGTTTTCGTATCTGATGCACGGAACACGGCGCTCACGTTCTTATACAGGTCTGCAGGAGATGACGTTGTCGAGGCGTCTGTTGCCACAGCCACCCACAGCTTATCAAAAAGACGCTCAGCGTCGCGATGAAAGCTATCGTGCAGCGGCACCGGCGTGCACTCGATTCCCAATGACTTGCAGTAAAACGTCAGCACATGCGCTTGAGTCGCCGTGAGTGAAACGTCAGTGGTAGATTTGGTCTTAGCGGAAGTGCTGTAGCTCTCACCGTGGGTGCGTGATCGGTATACGTCATGATTCTGGCCAAATGGTATAGCAAACGGCTGACACTTCTCTAGATGGAGTGATGCCCTACGCAAAAGCGCCAGCAAATCCGAGTTGAACATGCTCATCACGCGGTCAACAATCTCCAGATTACGCTCGTTGTCTGCGGAAAAGTCTAGCTCCTTTGCTCGTTCCACAAAAGCACCTAGCAGCGTTGTGTAAAAGTGGTAATTTGCCAGCACATAGCTTTCCCACGCTGGTGTATATCCAGTCGGTGTATTCCCATCTGCACTAAATCCTGCAGGTTCGGGAGATGTTGGGTCTCTCGAGTCCATCCAAGACCGACAATGCCACGGTTGAATGTACGCGAGCCAAACGTCAACAATGGCTATGAACGCTCTTGGCGAGAGTCCAATAGAAGCACGAGAGAACACAAGGCGAAAGAATGCATACAGTGGGGGCCGCAGCAACGTGACGCTACGGCTCAAATAGGCACCACCACTGCCTGCGATCATACCAGTTTCACCACCTTGAGATCTATTCGTGGCATCTCCCGCCAACGGAGCAGGAAAGAAGGAATCCGAAAGTAAATAAATGATAGCAAGCAGCAGTGAGCTGAGCAAGTCATCGGAAGGTGCCATATAACTGGTCGACGTGTACACTGCAGCAAATGGGCTGGCCAGCATATTACTAGAGGGTGGCGGCCGAAAAACGCCCGGAGCTGCAGTCGACGCACCGACAGGCTCATTTGAGAATGAAATGAGGTTCTGTCGTAGCCAAAATTCAATCAAAATATGAAGGAAGAGATTAGAGTCCTTCAGCAGCTTGCCATGGAAGCGGCTCTTGACACCGCGACTGGTGTCCGGCAAAAAAGCCCGCAAATACTGCAGCAATAGCACACTGTACGGACTCCCCCTCGTCAATGCTGCAACCCCGTTTTTGCTGTACATGCGCCAACTAGACTGCCGCGCCTTGGCTGCACCGCTCAACGACGAAGCCGACGTCAATATCCCACTCGCTGTTGATGCCGACGTAGCTGGAGGTGCCGGCCCGCCACCACTTGTATGCGATGACGAAACTGGATGCCTGAAAAAGTAGAAAAGATAGAGCTCGGTGATGGACACGAGCAGCTCGGGACTGCGTAGATCCAGTCTCTGCTTGGCCAGTGGTTTGTGCAGCAACTGCGTGAACAGCAAACTCGCGCCTCGACCGCTGACAATGGCCATCTTGCTCTGTTCTGGCAGCAACTCGAGCGCGAACTTAAACTCCACGGGGTGCGGTACCCGAAAGAGAAACTGGAAGACCGACCCGTCCTCTGCACGCACTCCCCCGCCCAAAAGCTTGACCATAGCTCGACCACTGGCTGTCAATGACACGAGAAACTCCTCCACATCATCTTCATCCGTTGCGACACCTGCGAGCGCCCTCTCCTGGCGCTGCTCGACTCGTTTCTTGACTGCAAGCGCTGCCGCGGACCCCGCAGACGGCGCGACGCCCAGTCCCGCGCTATAGTCGAGCCAGCCACCAAACTTGTGCTTCGAGACGGCGTCAATTCCAAAGATACGGTCCAGGAGCTGGTTAAAGCGCTCGTAAAAGACGCTGCGGAGTTGCATTGACTGGTGCTTAGCTGCCGAGAGACTCGCTTGGGTCTCGGACGCTAGATACCGATGCAGAGCCTCGACGACGGCCGTGATGTCGTACGAGTGCAGGGCGCGCTCGAACTCGGCAGTGGATTCGCTGAACGTCACGACGGACGACGCCGGGGACGGACTGGAAGCGGCGGGTGCGGAGACACTTCCGCTCGGCATCGTGATGGATCGAGTGGAGATGGGAATGGCACTGTTGTGAAAGAATGACATCGAGCATTGTATTGTCGCGGCGGACGGTGGTTCAAGTACTGCTTTTGGTTAATTGGTTCATTCATGAGTTGGATGGAAAGTGGTCAATGGACCACAATGCGAATGCGAGCCAATTGAATCGAGTGCAGCCATTCCTGACTGGTATTTATTTATAGCAACGTAGAACTACGTGAGTTCTGGCCCCACGACGACGTCAGGTACCTTTTTTACGTGGCAAATGTACCCACCATTCGTCCTTAGTAGTCGAGCGTCCATGACATTCGAGCTTCCTTCATTCCTGTATGACAACGTGACTATTCGTTGTAGACCGAAGAGGCAGACGGGTGCGTTTTACCCACACAGCGATGCTCTCGTCGATTGTTCTATGTCCGAATCTGGAAGCGGCCAGCCTTAGTCATCGTCCGCACACCCTTGTACGGCTTGTACTTTTCGTTGGTGATCAGCAAGGTTTCGACGTTCAGCCCAGAAACAGTAGACATGGGCACTTTGAAGCCTAGGAGCACGACAGGCTTCTCATCTGGCACTGCAGCGCTTTGATGAAGAACGATGTTGCCACGAAGTGATGGATTCAATACCTTCTTGCCTAGCTTGCCAACATTCCACTTGACGGTCTTGGACGGTTCATCAAACAAACAGGTGCCGGACTCTGTGTTCACATCCACAGTACGCACGCTCTTTGGAAAACTCACTTGCACAGTCACATCTTCTACCTGCAAATTCCTTCTTGAGTTCGAGTTTAATGTAGGCATGCCACGGGTGCCGATCACCAAATCCAGAGTGCCCCCACCCTTGTCATTGTACGTAATCTGCGGCTGACAGTACAGTGGTGGTACGAGATCGTTTACTTGCACACGGTACTGCATGAGCTCGAACTGTCCATCAGGCGGAACGAACGAAATCACGCGCTCACGCTCGTACCTCGAGTACCGCACACAAGGATGGAACGAGCAGTCATCAATTACAGAAGGGTCCGTGAACACCATGGTGAGGTCCGGGACACCCGAAAGACGGCTGTTGCTCTGAATCAATCCGTTCACCTCGCACGAAATCATGCGTCCAGAAACGTCGATAATCGCATCAATCTCCTCGACGATGTCGAAGTAGATTTCGTTCTGTGTGTACCGCACGCCACTTTTCCGCCACGGAATATTGGAAATCGCACCGTCAGGCAGCGTATTGCTCACGCGCGACTTTCCCGACACCATCGAAGCAATTCGGTTGACTGTAGAGGGTGGGGCCACCATTGCTTTGAGTGCATTCGGCTCGGTCGTCAGTGGATAGCCATTATCCAGCATCTCCTCCAGTAACTGGTAGACCGTAGAGAAATTGTCCTTGATCGAGTTCTCGTCAAAGTTGCCAAAGTAGTCACGGAAGACTGCAAGGACGCGCTGCAAGAACTCGATCACAAAGAGGGGGGAGATCTGCGTACACAAAACCCACAAGTCGTTAGAAACCAAATGAAAAAAGATCCGACCCCAACTCTCTCTCGCTTCTCATGTATCGAAAAAGACCTCATTGGTGACGACTGCAAGCACAAACAGATCATCTCGGAAAGTGCTGACCAAGTAGTACTTGCTTGTCGTGATAATGGGCGGCACGTCCTCTCGCTCGCGGTACTTGTTGACCTCCTCCATGAAGAAGTCGCAGACATTACGACTCGTGAGGCCGCGCCAATGCTTTTCAATGATCACCTCACTGCAGGAGGACAAGAAATCGATCAGTACGTAGTCAATGGTGCAGGTAGAGAAAGGAGGACCTCGTTTCTGCACACACGCACCCTGTGGTGGTCAGAATGAACATGGACTGGATCATGATGGCGCACGGAATGCTGCAATCCGTAAACTCAAAAGCTCAGTTGGCGTGTACCACACATTTGATGCAGCTTGTCCTTATGAGCTGTCATGAAAATCGGAGGTTGAGTGGTGTGTACCACTCAACCTTCGATTTTCTGGATAATTCCGTTCGAGTGGTGTGTACCACTCGAACGGAATTATCCAGTCACACACCAGAACGGTTGAGGCCTGATGTCTGAAGTAAATTGACACCAAGCAAAGTTAGCTAACGGCATGACAGGCCGAGCCCAGCGACTTGTTGACTCGAACGACTTGTTGACTAGAAGGTGGTTCCAAAGTCTTTCAATTGTAGCTAGCTAGTGCTCAATCTTCTGCATACTCGTTGTCACCACGTCCTTTGACTTGCTTTAGCTTCTCTGCATCAACCTTGTACACGTCCCCTCCATTGTAGCCGGCAAAGACCTTGGCCGTAATCTCCACCTGGGCATCCTTCGGGATCAGCTCTTCTGGAATCGGTATGCGTTCAACAATTTCGATGCCCTATCACGCACACAAAATGTCAGAATGAATGCGTTCGCACGCGATGCTACACATAAGTCAACAAGCATAACTCACCGAGTTGACAATGGCGTCGTACTTCATGTCGCTCATCGACACAAACTTGTCAATCTTCGTGATGCCTAGCCAGTGCAGAGCGTCAGGCATCAACGCCTGGAAACGCACGTCTTGAATACCCGCGACAGTCTGAGTGCAGTTGAAGTACTCTTCGGCGCTGTCACCGCCTTTTTGACGCTTACGCAAGTTGTACACCAAGTACTTGGTCACTTCACCCAGAGCGCGACCTTCTTTACGGAAGTACACAATGACGCCAGTCCTAGACGACAAAACCCACACATGTCAGTTCACGTTGACCCTGGTTCGGCAAGATCTCTTGCACAGCTACGTACCCTCCTTCCTGAGCTGTCTGCACGCACACTTCAATTCCATGGGCGAGGTATGGCCGACACGTGCAAATGTCCGAGCCAAACACGTCAGAGCCATTACACTCGTCGTGGACACGTACCGCCAGCTTTTTTGTCGGGTCTGAAATGGCTTCAACAGACCCAAATATGTAGATTGTCAAGCTGACAGCACACGCAACGCAAGCACGTTAGTCATTGACCACACACAGCAACAAATCTCCACAATGACGTGTACTCACCCTCCGATCGGGGGCAAAAACACCTTCAAGTCGTTTCTCGTGACCAATTCTGGGTACATGCCATTAGTCTCCTGGAAGATCTGCTGGCGCAAATTGGCTTCCGTCGTGTTAAACCGCTTGGCCACTCCAGGGAGGTACCACACGGGATCAATAGCAGCCTTCGTAATGACAAGCTGCGACAAATCCTTCAGTATCTTGCCATCAGGTTTCAGTCGACCAAGCCGCACGGCCTCGTGGATCTCTGGGAAATCCATGTGTGCCTTCGTCACAGCAATAGTTGGCCGGATGTCGTATCCCTTCTGGAAATATTCCGGAAAAGCTTCGACGACACAAGCACCAAAGGGGTCAATCGTGACCATCTTCTCCGGGTCAAACCACGACGGGTGCGGGCCAATCTTGGCGGCCGGCGTGGTCTCCCGAAGGTCAGGGAACGAGTTGTTCGCAATCGCTCCCGACGCGACGGCCAGTCCGCGATAGATACAGTACGAGCCGCCGTGGGCACCAATGGCGTTGCGGTACTTGTGGTGGCGGTTCGTGCCAATGATCGGACCACGCACGTCCGGGTCCTGGTGTCCCCACTATATTGCAGGCAGCAGCAGAAAAAGAGTCTTCGATTAGGCACGTGTGGCTCGACTCGACGGCGAGGAAAGGGACACATGAGTTACTCTACCTGGACGCGAATGGGGTCAACGCCAAACTGCTCTGCATGCGAGGTCAGGGAGACGTAGAACTTGTTGGGGTCAAACTCGTCCTTCTTGTCGATCTGCTTCACGTCGGCCGCTAGATTGCCCACCACCACGTCACACGTCAGTACGCTACTGCGGCTGCAACCAGCAGAAACACGAGAGGAGCGCGTCAGTCACTTACCGTCAATGGACTTCTTGCGCTTGCCCAGCGTCGCCACTTTCTTCATCGGGGCTGCGTGGTTCGAGCCGTTGGTAGTGGGGCTCATGACTCCGCGTGCGTGTCGGAAGATGGCGAGGGTAAGGAGACGTGCGCGCGATGAACAACCACTTGCGCCCTCGAGAGGAAATTGAGTAATGAACTGACGAGTGAGTGAGTACTTAGTGAGAGGGAAAAAGAAAACAAGCAGTCGTGAAACCACCTCATGCGGGCGGCTCTTGAAGTTGCTGTTGTGACCGGGTTTTGGCTCCGAGGGTGGGTCAGATTCAAGCGCTGCGTGATTCGACGTCTCGTCAAAGGGGTAGGGGAGATGACAACTGTGTTTGCATTCAGCAGGTGTTGACGAAGCCCCTGCAACTTTAGTCGGTACATAGATGTGCAACACTTCAAAAGGCAGCCCGCATTCGCTCTTCTTCCGTCTTATACAGCAGAGCCTGTCTAAAGTAATGCTGTCAATAAGTCATAAGCGTTGGAACGCAATAATTAATATCTATTTTGGCGTGAAGCACACACGTTAGTTCAAATGGCTACACCTTGCAAATATGTTGATCGGCATATTTGATCAAGCGCGTATCCTTGGTGTGGTTCATTTACACAGGTGATATCGCATAAGGTGCATATTCACTTTTGCAGGCATACAAAAAGATTGGTCGTGAATTTATTCATGCTTTATTTTTATAGCTCCTCGCAAATAATTTTAATTTTGTCGAATAACAAGTGCTTGTCGCCGTCCTCACAAAACCCTTGATCGAATGTCGACCATTCCGTTGTTCGTGTTCAAATTTACACCGAAGCTTTTCATTGGCTCTTATTCGCGACTTGTCGACCATAGTGAACGCAAGTCAGCGCTGTCCATTCAGACGCGTTGGTGCCTTTTCCCCCGCAATTCACACTGGAATCCGACGCTGCATTAGCGTCAGAGATCTCCTCCACTCCCTCCCCGCAATCGCTAGCCCCCGTCTGTCCATAGCTTGTACCCATCTCCTCTGTGTCTTCTACTGTCTTCACCGGCAATCAAGCCATGCCACTCCCTCACGCGAGCGTTCACCTGAACAATGAGAACGAAATGCCCACAGATCTACACGCCTCTCGTCTTGGAAAGGTACGACATCTCGACAAATGTATCGACGCTACCCTATCGATTCGATGCAAACTCTCGTATGTTTTGTATCCTCGTGTCCCTTTTATTGCCACAGCGTCAGATCTCTAGAGACGTGCCTGATGGTGGCAATCCCGAGAAGCGTCCAAGGTACACGAAGACACAGAGCCACACAAGCTCAACCGGAGGATCTCGTCGGTCAGCTATGGGGAATGTGACCAATCGACGCTGCGCTCTTGGAGATGTGACCAATAGGATCAACGTACGTTGAGTGTGGTGAACAAGTAGCGGCAGGAGCGATAACGAGTGATCTGCGGTGATAATGATGGATCTTGTGCCTTCTCTTTTTTGATGCTGTAGATTAAGAAGTCCAGTGTGAGTGCGTCGATGGGCTCGTCGGTCGCTAATGCGGGGGCGCTATCCAAGAAGGCGATTCTGGCGAGCAAGCGCAGCCTCAGCGATATCAGTGCCAAGAGCAGCAGTGTTAGAAACGCCAACGTCAACGCCAGCAAACGAAACTTCCGCAACGTGACTCTCAGCAGTCGCCACGCTGGTGCAATGTCTAGCAGCACAGTGACCCTCGGTAGTTGCAGCTCGTCATCTGTCATTAATCGGATGAGTCGCCCGCTACCAGTGGTGACGCCGACGGGCACGCTTGGATCGATGAGATCGATGGAAAAAATCTTACCAGCCGATGACATCATCCAACCAACGCCGGAAAGCTATAATCACGACATTGACTCTGAGGACAAGAATGACCCGACTGCGTGCTGGCAGTACGCCGAGGACATAACGAAGTACCACTTGGAGGCAGAGGTAAGTTCGTGTGTGGTATCTGGTATTACACGAACGCCTGTTACAAACGCTGACACAACGCTGATACGACTTTTGCGTTGTTCACTTTTATAGAAAAAGAGCAAGATCAGCAGCTCCTACATGGCCCGCCAGTCGGATGTCAACCCAAAGATGCGTGCTATCCTTGTGGATTGGCTGATCGACGTCCACTACAAGTATGGCTTGCTTTCTCAGACTTTGCATATTGCTGTCCTTCTTATCGACCACTATTTGGAGAAGGATCTAACAATTGGACGTCAGCGTCTTCAACTTGTCGGCGTTTCGGCGATGCTTATCGCTTCAAAGTACGAAGAGATTTATCCCCCACAGGCCGAAGATTTTGCAAAGATTACCGACAACGCATTCACGCGAGATGAGGTTGTCCAGATGGAAGCAAAAATCCTTGCAACAATCAGCTACCGAGTGACATTTCCGACAGCTTTCCAGTTCATGAAGCGATTCCTCAAGGCTTCGCGTAGTTGTGACGATCGTGTGGAGCATTTTGCGCATTATGCAATTGACCGCAGCTTGCAGGAATACAAACTTATCAAGTATTTGCCGTCCACGATCGCTGCGTCGGCAGTCCACATTGCGCGGTCGCAAATGCTCGATTTTCCAGTTTGGGTAAGTTAAGAAAGTGATTGCTTTGGAGCTAGTGCTACTTGAGCTAACATAGTCCGTCTTGCTGCAACTGACAGTCATCAACCCTCGAGCATCATTCGTCGTACAGTGAGCGAAGCCTAGATCCTTGTGTTGATGATATGAAGGAAATGCTGCGGAACACGTCCAAGTGTGTGGGATGGATGGCCAAGCTCACTGCTGCGCGACGAAAGTTCAGCAAAGAGCGCTTTATGGGAGTGGCAGCTGACCCGCTCGGATTTGGCGAAAGCGCCTGAACACGTTTGTCAAGATTTTATGTATTCCGTCCTCAAGCTGTTGCGAGTCGTCCCATCATGTCGACAACAGATATACAATTGATTGTACAAGAGCGCATGATGATCCCTACAACGGCTGCAAGACACTAAGTAATGGTCGAATACGCACCGGCGACAATGTGTCGTACTGTATACTTTATCCTGCTCATACGACTGCGCATCAGAGAGCGTATGATCCCAGACATCGTGCGACGCCGTAATCGCACAGCTGTGTAGACACAAATGTCAATCGGTTAATGCAAGAACACAACCCATGAACTCGAAATTGTACACATGCGATATGGTCTATGACATCAATCTATAAATCGCTGCCTTCCAGCTAATCCATGCCAAGCGCATCCATGTCTTTGTCTTCCTCGTCGCTGCTCACGTCCAGGGCTAAAATCTCGCTAGTTAGCTGGTCCGCAATATCCTCTGACACCTCTTCGTCCTCTCCGCTCGTCGGAAGAGTTGATGACGCTGTGACAACTCGTTTCTCGCTCGTCCCCTGTTTTCTTTCAGCTTTGCTGCGTGCCACGGGTTCCTTTGGCTCAGGTGCCTTATCCACCGCTGCAGGGGCCGGCGGCAACACCGTCTCACTGTCGTCAGCCAACTTAGTCTCTTGATCAGCTGCAAAAGACTTGGTACGAACTTCATTCCAGTCAGGCTCCTCGCCATCTTCGTCACGAATCAGAAAGTCAACAAGCTTGTAAATCTGGTCGCCAATCTCATCGTCGGGTTCCTCCAGGTGTGCATTGCGGATGATCGGGTACACTTTCTTACGGCGCAGCACCTTACGCCCGTTTTGTGTCGTACACAGCAGCAGCAGACAGTCGACTGCAGCAAGCCGAACCAGTCGGTCATGTTCGCGCTTCTTCTTAGCGCCTTGGCTGTACACGACCGGGTTCATACCCATCTTGTCGTCTTCGTCAAGTTCCTCCGGGCCAGCGAGAAGAACCATCATATGTGTAGGAATATCCAGTTGATCGTACAGATAAAAATGGTTATCAGAGTCAAAGCACAAGTTTTTCAGTGCAGCTGTAACACCTCGTCGACGGACGACGTTGGGCGACTTGAGCTGCAACAGGAGCGCGCCAGCAAGCGACGTGCTTTGTCGTATCTTGAGCAGAAAGTCACGTCCCTGTTCCAACTGGCTAATGTTAGCAAGAATGTTCGCCACGTACTGGTACTCGTCGTCCCATTTCGGTTCCCCACAGCTGTCAATACCATCAGGTTCCGGTTGGCCGTCCAGAAACGAGTTCGTAAGCGTACGGATCTTCCTCTCACGCACCACAAGTGCCGCTTCTGTCAGTTTCTCATCGTATCCGAGCAGCGCCTTGGCACCTTCGGGTGTCGTGCTCACATTGGCCAGTAGCATCATCGAGTAGTCAATGAGACGCCACTCGTCGTCTCCCACTTGAGCCATGACGCGATTCAGCAGGTCAAACTCAAGCGAGCGCTCACAAGCCACTGGATTCGCGGCTGTCAAATTGATGAGCGCTCGAATCGCGTCCTCGGCAATGGGGCGCATGTCGCTCACGATGCGACAGAGCGCCTGGACCACGTCCGGCTTCTTAAGCTGCAGCAGCTGGTGGATGCCCTGGTCCGATGCGGTTAGATCTACGAGTAGACTGGACGCCGATTTGCGCACCTCGGGTCGCGAGTGTGACAAGAAAGACACGAGCTCCTCGACGGACTTGACCTGCTCCGCTGTCGTCGGCGCTGTCATCTTCACGCTCCTGTCCACTGAAAAATGCGTCTGTCCGAAGAACTGCCCCATCGATACCGGCGGATTGACTACCGGTATTTGTACCGATCAAATGGAACACCTGATCGATTAATGATCAAGTCTGTGAACCCATCTTTGGTCTTGTACGAATCTGTGACGTGCTACGAAGAGCTCCAGTTGCGTCAAATGGACGTGGCGTTGAAATGTATAGCCGAAGCCGTACGTCGCACCCGCGGGTGTGTGGTGTCCCGATCTATTGAAGCTCGCGTTGTGCCCGGTATGGGCACAGGAATTGTTGCACGCGAGCGTATTCCAAAAGACACGTTGGTCTTCCAGGCTGGACGGGATATTTGGTACCCATTTTCAGCAGAGTATGCACTGGAGACTGCACAGCAGCAAGCGCCTGGTTTTTTGAAGCGATGGGAAGAGCTCCTAGTGTCGAATAGTGCGCTACACAAAGGGGGTGCATTTGTACCCAAGGCGTTAGTCTTAGGGGTGCATTTGCTGGTGAATTTTCCATTCGCAAAAAATCTGGAGACAATGCTCTTGACCATGGCAAACATCGATGCTGCACCGCTGGAATAGCTTTATGTCAATGCACTGCCGAGATCTGTAGACTTGCCATTGTTTTGGAGCGAGCGGCAGTTTGATGAGCTACAGGGGTGCGAGGAGGCACGCCGTGCAATGCAGCACGGGTCGGTAACAGGTCAATTTGTTTCATGAAGGAGGGAGTCGTATAATCTGAAGCGTTTGATGGTACGACAGCGCGCACTTCTACTCGCAAATTCATCAGCACCTTTTTGGTCGGCATAATCAGTTTGTGACGTTAGAAGCGTTTCTCTGGGCTGTTTCCATCCTGATGTCGCGCGCGACGTCCGGCCAGGATCAACCATTCACGCTTATTCCATTCTTCGACTGCTTTAATCACGCAAACAATGGGTACGCTTGCAATTGAATCACTAGCTGTTGCTTGTGTAGCGTTCCTCACCATCGTTCATTGTGTCGATTTTCTAGCGATGAGTGCATTCAGGAATATGACTCCGTGAAGGGCTTTACAGTGCACACGACAAAAGCGTACGAAGAGGGCGAACAAATTTTTATAAGCTACGGCAACCACGGGAATCTTCGGTTGCTCCGCAATTACGGCTTCACGGTTGCTGCAAACCCATTCGATGTCGTCGACCTACCGATGCCAGAACTGTTGCAGCAGCTGAATCCAGCAAACCCAGCTTTTACTCGAAAACGCGAGGTGTTGTTATCTGCAGCCGGCACTCAAGTCGATAGATTAGTTCTGAACCATGTGAGGATCCAGCACGATGGAAGCATTGATCCAAATGCGAAGCTATGGTTGGCGATTCTGCTCGCTGCACCAGCAGAACTGGATGACATTATTAGAGAAGCAGTTACAACGAGGGTGTCAGGAGAGGAGATGGCCCCATCGATTGTGCTTCCGCCCACGTTGATGCGCAAGGTCGACGACGTACTCAACGACCTGGTGACAAGTAAACTCAAGCAGCATTCTTCTTCGTTCGAGGTGAGGAAACGTCTTGTTGCTGACGGATTGAATCTAACACTTGCGTTGTCTGGACTGGTACGTACCTAACAGGAAGACGCAACGTTTCTCCAAAACAATGATCAGCGCATGGCACCGTGGCTGCGGTCATGCCTGCACATCCGGATGAGCGAAAAACAAGCGCTCATGCGCACAATATCGACTCCAGCTGAATAAGGCTACCCCTCGGTACTTTCGTAGCATAAATTGAACTACTTGGTATTGCTCCTGCTAGTGCTAATCACTTTTTGCCTCCTCTTTTCTGAGTCTTCACACAGGCTGCCCGTGTACGCGGAAGCGATACAGGCAGGTATATTCGGGATGACCGTGGTTCGATAGAATATCCAGGGCAATACCATCGATAGCCAAAGATTGACTCTGTCGCACAACATAGCAGACATCCATCATAACGTGCACTGGACAACATAGATTACTCCAAGAGCAGCGCGTACCTGCGACGACGTAAGCTTGAATGTCTGACTTGCTGAGCCCTTGCTAGTGTATGAAAAATTGCCGAAGAAAATGAAATCCACCGTCTCCCGCAGAGGGTGACCCAAGATGCCCTGAGAAGTACACACAAGCTTGTGTTGGCACCGCCACGATGACAGCAAATCGCAACGATCGATTTCTACACAAATGCTAGCCCACGTACCAGGATGCGGAACTCGTTTGGCGCAGAACTGAAATCAGAAGCGATCTGGGCAGGGATGTGATCAATTGTGATGGAGTCTGCAACAATTTGTTGGGCAAATTTCACTGAGAGGCGACCAGATGAGCCAGCGATACCCCAGCAGCTACCCATCTCCATCGTTTCCTAGTGCATTCGAGTCACGATTACTATAAGGGTAACCAACAACACCATCCAGCACTCATACCGACAATGCAGTTTCTGGTCGGCCGTTATGGCGTGAGAGCCACCAGGGACTTTCGCCTGAGGACAGTAACAGTCCAAAGAATGGGGCCGGCGCACATCGATACGAAGGCGACGTGAACCTGCCATCATCTTCGGAGTCCCTTGGTCCGAGAAGCTGGATTAACAGCTGCGCTGGGGACGATCTATCCTGGTGGAGGAGGTCACTGGGAAAAAGCAAGAGCACGCATGGTTGAGTAATAGGGAATCATCGTGATTGTGGTAAACTTCACGCCCGCAACCGTAAACAGACGTACCGCTCTGAATGAATAACCGAAGCGCCATTTGCCAAGGCTGCATGGTCTACACGCCCTGTTTTCTTGATCTCCACAGCCTGAAAAGCCACCTCGATAACGCGGAGAATTCCAGGGTCAGTGGCGTCTAAACTCCGGAGAGCATCGGCACTAGAAGAAAACGCCTCCTTTTCCTCTTGCAGCACCCTTGACATTCGATTTTCAGCACCCTGCATTCGACTTTGTATCTCCGACTCCAGCTCGCGCTTGAACGTATCACGCCAGTCAGCAAATTCTCTTCGCATCTCACGCTCGTGCGTGTACTTGATTTCTGCGTCTGACTTCGACGCCTCTGTATCCTTCTCAATCTGGTCTTGCACAGACTGTATCGTGTTTCCATTTCGAAGCAACGATGTCATGAGTAAAGAGTAAAGACATTCTAAAAAGAACAACGTAGCTTACGTTCATCTTCTCCTCGTGTTCCTTTACTACCGAAACAAGTTTGGCCTGCTGTTCCGTTGCAGCATGCAGATCGTGTTGTAGCTGTACCGTAAGATTCAAGAATTGCTCCCACTATATCGAAGTAGAGAGGATACAAGATATGCCCATCAATCAACAAGTTACTAGCAAATCACACGCGTTCCACACACGTACCAGTTCTTCTGTATGCTTGGCAACAACTTTCTCGATATGAACTGTGATCATGCTGTTGGATTCAGCAAGACTAAACTTTTGCTGCGTTTCGTCGTGAGCGTACTGCAGCGTATCATGGAGCTGTTTGAGAGCCTCAATTTCCCGTTCTTGGGATTGCACAGTTTGCCGCAACACTTCCATGTCCTCACTCATGCTCCGTATTTTTGAGTCTACGACTGCCTGCACCATTGACTGTATGGTCTCCATCTCAACACCTGCATTTGCATTTCCATGCGTTCCGATCCCTGTCATCGAAAAGACGTCCACATACTGCAATGTACTTTTCAAGTACTGGGGAACTGAAATAGCAATTGCAAAGCAGCACAGCGGCGCCAGCAGCCACAACACATTCACCGCCATAAACGAATTGCGCAGCACCAAGCGCCACAATCGCCGCAGCCCCTTGAGCATCGTCTTAACAGCCTTCGAGTCCACAACAACCTCCTGCCATAACCCACCAGCTTGTTCCGGTATCTGAAAAAACGCAGCAGCTCCTGCCGCTCGTTTCTTGAGCTCGGAACGTCGCACTCCACGCGCTTTATCGCCCTCCTCTTCTTCCTGAACGTCTTCCGACTCGACCACGTCCTCACTCTCCACGTACGGAGGCATGTACGAAATGCTGCGGTACACTGTACACGTAAAATCGTCGTCCGGTTCCTCAAAGTCGCTAAATTCCTCGTCCTCGTCCTCCTCGTCTTCTTCGCCATCATCTCCTGACCGCAATTCCAGCGTCCGCTGCACCGGATCCGGTGTCCTAACAGCGTGGCGTCGATAGCTACCTCCCGTGATGTCTTCCAGTTCCTCCCCTTCATCGGAAAGCGTCGTATCGGAGCGTCGGGAACTCCGTAGTCGTCGAGTATACGCGTTTCCTTCCGCCATCTTTTTGTGTTGAATTGAGATTGGTATTTGTCAAGTGGGTTGATAACAGGACTATAAATTGAATAGACACTAAACCTTTGCGATGACATAAAATACATCTCGATTTGTCTCCATTCTTAATGCTCTGACAGTGGTCAATCAAATCAAATTAATTAAATTAAACTTAATTAAACGAAACTCAACTAAATCCCCAACTAATGGACTCGACGGACCGAGAGCAACGTCGCAATAGTCCGTCTCTCTATGGCACGTCGAGCTTCTCGACGCCGTTGAAACTAGAAGACAAGAGCCTGGATCCTGTGTCTGCTGACGCTCAAGTCGTGGCGTCTCGGACGCGCACCGAAGAAGAGATCGTTGAGCTGGGGCAGGAACAGCAGACGCCGTCGGCGTTTACGAATCTCTTGGGCAAACGTGAGGCAGAAACGGAGCTGCAGGAGGAGGAAAATGGCAGTGAAGAAGCTGATGAAGAGACGCCGCATCTGCTGCCCATGGTGGAAGAGGAGGAACAGGAGCAAGATCTGGCGCTCGTGCAGTGCGCGGGGATGGACCAGTGCTTTGACTCGTGGAACGAGTTTCACCGTGCGATGGACGACTATTGTGAGGCGACGCACCAGCCAATGAGACTGCGGACATCGGACTCGGCAAAAGCAGTGAACTCTCGAGCGGCAAAGAGGAACAGTATGAAGGATCCGATCGACGAGAGTGTTGGGTTCGTCAAGAAGCTTTACTTGTGTACACATGGAGTAAAGACAAAGCCCCGTGGCAAAGGCAAACGACCGAGACAGCACTATCGCTACATGGGGTGCCCTGCAATGATCCGAGCTTGTATCTCGGAACGCAAGCCGAATGATCCGGAAGGACACGGTAAAAGTAAATACGTCGTCCGTGTTGTGGCCCAAATCAACCGCCACAACCATCGTCTGAGTGAACACTTGTTCAAGTCATACTCGGAAAGTCGTGTGGTGATAGACGATGAGCTTGTGGTGCCGAGCTCTCAGCGGCGGCTAGAGCAAGCTGTAGGTGCTCCTGCTTCAGTTGCGACTGCACCTGTCGAACAAGAGATTGCTGCCACGGTCCATCCAGAGCTGGAAGATTCTGCCTTGAAAACAAGTTGTAGGTTGCTGCACGACGTATAGTGCTGTGCTGATCAGTCGGTGTTCGTGTGCGAATAATTAATCCTTTTTGTATTTGAATTGTAGCGTTGTTTCAAGCTCAGCCGCTGGACCTCGTGCCTGTTTCACGCGTCAAAATTCGGTATGCGTTTGGATACGATGTCTGTGTATGCAGGTCCACTATTTAATATGATGCCACCTTACAGTGTGGGCTGGATCGGAACAGGCATCATGGGTTCGAGCATGTGCGGCCATTTGATTGTAGGTTGTTCACGACATAAGTGTGTTGGAGACGAGCAATCATTAACCTATGTTGTTGGATGTCAAAGAATCATGGCTACGACGTCACGGTGTATAATCGAACGCTCTCGAAATGCGACGAGCTACGAGACAAGGGGGCCAGAGTCGCAGGTTCACCAGCTGAAGTAGCCCAAAACGCCGGTTGGTACTGTATTTGCCGTGATGCCGGATACCGTGTTGTAATTTCGGTGTATTCTCACTTCGTACATGTTTACGCTCAGACATTGTGTTTATCATGGTCGGGTATCCGAGCGACGTTAAGTCGGTCGTGCTTGACCCAGACTCGGGCTTACTCTCGCGAATGAAGGCTGGCGGTATCATCGTGGACATGACGACAAGTGAACCCGCATTGGCGAAAAAAATTTATGATGCAGCCAAGTTGAAGGAGGTTTCCACTCTCGATGCACCCGTGTCAGGAGGCGATGTCGGTGCGCGCGACGCAACGCTATCTATCATGGTTGGTGGGGATGTCGATCCTGTCTACGTCACGATGCCGTTTTTCAGTGTAATGGGCAAGACTGTTCGCCACATGGGTCATGCTGGAGCGGGCCAGCACACGAAAATGATGAATCAAATATTGATCGCGACCAATATGATAGGAGTTGTCGAAGGCCTTTTGTATGCAAGGAAGAGTGGCCTGGATATTGGGGAAGCTATTCGGATTGTGAGCGCGGGCGCGGCAGGTTCGTGGTCGATCTCTAATATGGGTTCGCGCATCGTCAAACGAGACTTCGATCCTGGTTTCTACGTTGACCATTTTCTGAAGGACATGGGCATTGCTCTCAAAGAAGCAAAGAAGTACGGTGCATAATTTCTTACAGCAATTAGTAGTGTCGAATAGAGAGTCACGGGGTCAGTTGTGCTGTTGCTGTTGCAGGATGAACCTATCACTGCCCGGGCTGTCGCTGGCACATCAGCTCTACGTTGCTGTGAAGGTGTGTCTGCGGATGTTGAATTTCACTGTTGTTATTTGGAGAGCTGATTGTACTGGTTGAGTTTGTAGGCGCAAGGACACGGTCGTTTGGGGACTCAAGCATTGATGATTGCATTGGAGCAATTAAACGGTACGAAATGAAAGAGAAATCGTTCATGATAGCTGCCTGAGCCCATGCGGATTGTGATGCTGTTTCAGGTATTTATCCCGAGAAAGCCGACAACGTGGAGGTGGTGTAGCTTTCCTGTACAGTTGACTAAGGCCTGTGAGTGTACTCAGTCCAGCGCCGCCTGGATCGACTTTTGATTCGAAAAGCAATACTTGAACAACTCATTTCACTTGCTAAGAAATTACCAGCAACATCTGCCGATGTGTCAAGGTTTGCTTGCGTTTCGATCGCTGGACGTTTTTGAAGGTTGATTGGTGTTGTTGGATGTCCGATGTCCATAACGCGTGAAGATGTGCATCGTACGTGAAAGTGCTGTGGTGCCGGCGTTTTGGTCGCGTATTAGTAGAGAACGTTCGTTGGAAAATGGCTGATCGCTCGGCACATTATCGTAGAGATGAAATATATGTTTTTCTGAAAGAACTTGTGCCCTCCAACAGTGTGAACATGACGATATGTTTTACACATTGTGCAAATACAAGTATTTATTTGTTGTATCAGACAAATACATTGTACTTCGCATCATTTGTATGAACAAGTGTATTTGTGCACGATCGCTGACCAGAGATTTGTTGACACAAGTATGTTTGAACAACTCTTCGTTACGACGTATTGTAGGTACAACTACATTTATGCCAGAAGGCTTGGTCGATACTTGTAGATACCTATAATTTTATCACGCTTATGGGTTGAACATCAGTTTATTCGATAGGGGAGAAAGCTCTGGAGCATGTTCTGGAGCCCGCCCTTCGATACAGTAATCCAGTTCATAGAACTAGATCAAGTTGCAAAACGCTGTCCAACAGCAGCAGTCACTGAAGAATGTGTATGATGCTGTTGTCTGTATAAATCTGGTACAGTAAACTTAGGCAACGTGATTGGCCTTTGTTGCAGCTTGACCGTTGCTGTAACGGGGCACCCTGAAGCTTGTACTGGTGACAGTACAAGCTACTTAATCTGATGACAGAATAAGGCGGTGCCTCGTAACTTCACGTACACTCGTACGTGCAGAGGAATACGGTAAGAAGAAGCGAGTACTTGGTTAAAGTAAAAAGTAGAACTGTATTTATAATAGTTAATGTCTGCAAAAATCACTGTTTATCCTCATCTAACAATGTCTAAATACAAATGTGCATATCAACTATCTACTCACCACTCATTGCGTGCGTCTGTCGTGGCGCGTCTTCGTTGGTTGATATAATGGCCTATATCAACCAATTAGGAACTACTCGTAAGTGCTACAGAATATTTGTCCTTATGACAATATTCTGAGAATATAACTCTTATAGTTATATTCTATTAACAATTTCTTATAAATTGTTATGTAACGATTCACCCCGTTACATCACCCCCCCTTAACCATCAGTCACTTTAGTGACTGATTGACTAAATGGATACTCGTCCCAAATCATTTGGGACAGGGTTTGCACTTGTTGGTCCGAGTCCACTTTCCAACATCTCATCGCATGGTTAACAAGCCCATGCGATGCGCGAGGCCGCCGAGAGCGCGTCCGCACGTCTCTGTGCGGACGCCGAAGCAGAAACCACAGCAACTGATGTCTCATCGGTTGCTGAAGCGACTCAGCCTGTGTCACTTGGTGATGCAGGCGCTGGTCATGAAGACACTCATGTCTTCACAGAGTATGAGCTCGGTGTCTCGTACTCTCCTGATACGGATGACGGATCCGTATCGACGGCGATTGAATCTAAGCCGCCTGCCAAGCGTGGCATGGACGATGCTTTGCGTCGCAGCATCTTTGGTTCATCTGATGAATCAGATGAACCATCGCCGAAGCGAAGGCGCTCGAGGTCGCGAGACTCGGGCGCTAATAGTGGTGTCGGTTCTCCTATGGACACCACTTCACAGCGAGGTGCCAGTACTTCTGTCGGCACGTCGCAAGAAGAGCGGGACTGCAATGTCTTGCGTCTCGCTCCCGAGGAGAAGGCGTGGATGCCTCCAAAATCAGTCATGGATCACTTGTCGGCGATGACAAGTGATCGCTATCGAACACGATTGTTCGATTCGTCAAGGATCCATCACCTTGACCCCAGTGCGAAAAACTATCGCGCTGAGAATGAGTTCTTCATCGATGCTTTCTTTAAACATCGATGGTACAGTGGGAATCACAAACGTGATGGTCCCTCACTACTTCAGGCGTGGAACGCCTACATCCATAACCTTGAGGATGTAGGTCGTGACGCTTGGAACGACAAACTTATCAAAGCTCGTGATAAGTTTGAAAAGCGAACCCCGACAGGTGCACGCTACAAGCTGCATCGTCTGTCAAGGGAGAAAGGATTACCCTGCCTCTCTTGGGGAGACTCGTGCCCGTGTTGTGTGAACAACTCTGCACGAGCACCTAAGGAGGCTTACCTCCTTACCAGCCCGTGGTGGCGCGTACGTGTCTCTACTGAGATGTACGAAGGGATTGACAACCTGAAATCCCTTTACGACCTTGCCGGGAAGACTTTCTCCGGCGGTCCTTCTGCGGCACAGGATGTGCCGCGTCGTACTGCTCAACCAGACCCAGTACGTCGATCATCAGTTGGGAGCGGGGCTCCCAAGAATCCCAGGACGGGGGATAGCCGCGCCATCGGACGAGTTATCTCGTCCGACGTCCGTTCACGTCGCGGTGGTTCAACAGCTGCTCAACTAGATAGCGCTGGCCACCGCGAGAGTCCTCTAATGGAGGTGGTGGAGGAGGAAAGACGCTCTCCACACGATCATGTGGATCGGTGTGTTCCCGAGAGCTTCTTTGATCGCGTAACGCAAGGGTTACGCGACGATCTCGAACATGAGCGGAATAGGCGTCTCCAAATGGCGGACACTGCCTTGAAGCATCAAGCTGAGTTTGCCTTTGCTCAGCTTGAGAACGAGAGATCTCTGACATCTCTTCGTGACGAGCTAAGGGTAGCTCGTGGGATTGCTGATCGGTCTCGGGATGAGATAGCTGCTCTTCAGACCCTTGTTGATGCCCACCATCGGGAGCACAAGGCTCTCTGCGAGATGCTTGAGCGCAAGGGCGTTCTTCATCGGAAGAAGCAGCGTACTGATGGTACGGCTTAAGCCGACCAACGTAAAACGTGGGATGCGTTCGCATCTTACGTGGAAATTCGATCGTGTATGCATTGCCTAGGCGGTGCAATACACGAAAAGGACCGATGTACTTGGGTAGTAGTTTACTGCTACCCAAGTTAGTCACTACATGCTTTGGTAGATTAACCGTAGACAGTAGGACTAAGTCACCTTTATTAAATAAAAGAGTGTTTGCCCTTCCATTCTTATCAGCGTTTTGCTTTTGCTTATCCACCGCTTCGGCGATGGAGTCTTGCACAAAACGGACTACCGTTTCACGAGCCAGTATGAACTCATCTGATGACTCGTTAGCTTCAGTGCGCTGTGAGCGCACTGCAGCAACATCAACCTTTTATTCAGTGAGGGCTTCCGCACTCTCACTGGCATCATCTTCTTCGATATCGATGTTATCGATATCGGCATCAAACGCAATGACTTCTTCGTCAGAGCGTGATGAGCGTGAACCAAATCGGTTTTTGCTCGCGCGAGTCCCTCCCCCCTTAAACTAGAGTCACACCCTAGTAAGGTGGGTACGCGCAAGCCATTCACGTAAAACGGTGTATGTGTCGTGGACGCATGCACCGAGTTGTTGATGGCAAACTCTACCATTGGCAAAACTCACTCCAACTCTTAAAGGAGTGTACGTATCCTCGAAGTATCTCTTCAAGGACACGATTGGCACGTTCCGTCTGACCATCTGACTCTGTATGATCAGATGTTGACATCTTCAAGCGCGTTCCGAGTAATTTGAACACGGAACGCCAGAAATCAGCAGTGAATCGTGGATCTCTGTCTGATACGAGTTCACGGGGCAACCCATGAAGTCGGAAGATGGTGTCAATAAAGACACAAGCACAGCCACTTGCCGTGATTGTCTCTGGTACAGCCACAAGTTGTACCATTTTGCTGAATCTGTCAACGAATACGAGAATACCCGTATTCCCGCGTGCGTCTTTGGGTAACCCGAAGACAAAATCCATTGAGATAGATTCCCAGCACTCAGCCGGAACCGGTAGAGGCTGTAAAGGTGCACGCAGTGAATGACTTGACTTCACTCGTTGACAGACTTCGCATGCGCGAACATACTTTCGCACAAACTGACACTGGCGGGGCTAGTAAAAGTCTCGACTCACCGTGAGATATGTTTTCTCCCGGCCACGATGTCCTCCTATAGGAGCATCGTGATACTCGAACATGATCCGCAAACGCAGCTCAGTATCATCTGGAATGACAACACGTGGTGTGTCACCAGAAACGGCTGTATAATACAGTAACCCGTTACGAGTAGTGTATCGATCTGATGCAGATCGATACGCAGGCGACAATTGTTTCAACGATTCTCGAGATGGTTGGGAGAGATGTGTCAACAACTTCACAATCTCACCATCTTGGGCGTATGCCCGCCTCACATCATCCTACAACGTTGTAGATGGGACTGAGGACGTCATAACCGCAACAGTGACTGTCTCACTGTTGGGTTTCGCGACTGTTTCAAAGTCGGGACGACGTGAGAGTGCATCAGCAACGACATTAAGTCGTCCTGGTTTGTACTCGACCGTAAAGTTGTATTCAGCAAAGAATGACAACCACCGCGCCATTCGTTGTGAAAGGTGCGGGCTGTTCACTGCCGTGCATAATGACGCATGGTCAGTGTAAACAACGAAGGGTCTATCTCCTAATAGATAGACTCTGAACTTCGCGAGTGCATACTTCATGGCAAGGAGTTTCTTGTCATGCACTGGATAGTTCCGCTCAGCTGGTTGCAGCTGACGCGACTGATAGCAGACGACGCGTTCAACGCCTTCAAGATCGTACTGCATTAATGCACAGCCGATTGTGAAATCGCTGCCATCACAGACCACATGAAATGGCCTGTCCTGATCGGCTATTGCTAGGACTGGGGATTGTATCAAGCTCTGCTTGGTACCCTCAAAGGAGCGTTGACATTCAGCGTTCCATAACCACCTCTCGTTCTTTTTCAACAAACGAGAGAGGTGCACAGTCATCTCGGCGTAATTGCGTGAATACTGATGCAAATACGCCGCTAGCCCAAGGAATTTTCGAAGACCTTTGACATCAACCGGCACAGGCCAGTCGGTGATCGCCTTGATCGTTTCGGGATCAGGACGTACACCGTTCTTACCAACGATGCACCCAAGAAGTGGTATTTCGCTTGCTGCAAATATACACTTCTTGAGGTTAGCATACAGTTGATGCTTTCGCATGATTGTAAGAACTTGTCGGACGTGGTACCTGTGAGCCTCAACGTCCGACTTTCCATCCATAATTCGACTATGGATGAATACGTCATTGAAGTAACTTGGCGCGAATTCTCGTACTGGTCTCAACAGATGTGATACACATCTGTTGAACGTGGCAGGGGCATTACTGAGCCCTTGTGGCATAACTAGCCATTCCCAGAGCATGCCGCTAGGCGTGCTAACTGCGGTATAGGGTATATCCCGTTCCCGCATAAGGATTTGATAGAAGCCATACATCAAATCCATGGACGAAAAGATGGTACTCTTTGACATACCATCAATGATTACGTCCTTCCTCGGTGTCGGCGTCTGAGCCGGTACCGTTGCAGCATTCAACTTGTTAAATGCATGCACTATCCGCCACCCTCCTGTTGCTTTTCGCACACAGAAGGTCGGAGAGCTATGTGGGGAAGTTGATTCCCTCACATGGCCCGCAGCTATACGATCGGCAAAGAACTTGTCGATCGCAAGTACTTGTTCACGAGGCAGTGGCCACTGCTTCATGACACAGTACTTCGAGCCTGTTTTAAGCTCGACCTCGTGTCGAATACCTTTATCCTTCGGTAACTCGCACGGAACAGTTTCAGGGAATACATCCTTGAATTCAACCAAATCTTCATAGAGAGGATTTTTCTTGAGCGATTCCCACGATTGGGAGTCATATCGCTCAATTCGTGTCTTCTCATCTAGGACACTCTCGTCCACAGATGAACTACTGAGAACTCTCTCGTTCTCAGTAAACACTGTTGCTGACCTTATGTCGGTTACACACTCGTCGTCAGCGACGAGTATGCAGATCTGCTTGACTTTGCCACTACGCAGATCACGCAAGAACCTTTTATGTTCGAGCGTTGGCAACTGAGTGATCTCCGAAGTTAACTTCGGAGGCGCAATCAGATCAAGTGTATAAGCGCCTACACTTGATCCGTTATTGACTATGACATTCAACGTCTCTGTAATTTCCTGGGGACTCATTCCCTCAGGCTTCGAAGGCCTTATTCCTTCGGCTTCCCGGGGACTTATTCCCGCGGGTTTCGGGGAACTTATTTCCGCCGTATTTGTAATCTTGGGACTTATTCCCTTTACTTCATCTAGCTGGGGTTGCGCAACCACAGCGAGATCCTCTACGAAAGACTCTCCAGTCGATCTAGGATTATCGTTTCGCTTAACCTGAGCGATCGATTGTTTCTCTTCTAGATGTTCCCCGCTAGGGATACGTCTTTGTCCCAGTCCTACCGACTTATTCGAGTGGTGGACCTTCGGCGCAGCCTGTGTTTCCTCACAGCCGCCGGAACTTTGCTCCGAAGTGTAACCGTTTGGTACACTAAGGTTTTGTGCAGTCGTACTAACGACCATACCACAAGTGAGGCCATCGCACTCACTCGTAGTACATCCACACGCTTGTGGAAGCTCCAAAACGTTCATCAGATGGCCATCTGATGAACAAGCGGCAGGCATCGTTACTGTCCGATGCTGCCAGTTTACCCGTGGTTCGTACCTTCTGAGCCACGGTATTCCAAGGATGACATCAAATTTGTCATCCAAATCCAATACGATAAAGTCATCGTCATATTGGGTATCTTCTAGCGTATAGTGGATCTTCACTATACGCTTCATGACGGTTACGGATGCGCCTGTCGCAAGACGTACCGTCATCCTCGTAGGAGGTGTGTCACATTCACTGAACTTAAAGTGACCATCTTCTAGCGATTGGCGTCGCACAAAATTGTTGGACGCCCCACAATCGACTAGAGCTCGAATAGACAACTTATTTGTCACTTAGAGTTTCAAGGTAATGAGTGAGACCTCATTACCTAGAGCAGCAACGCACAACGTTTGTGTGTTGGGAGCAACCTTCATCAAGAGGCCTACAAATTCTCTCGACGTTGCTAGACCAGTAGGGTGCTCCGCGCCTACTGATCCTGTCCGTTTTTTGACGGTCCATCCCGTTGTTGCGTCTTTGCACCAACTGCGGACCCTCGTCCCTGCCCCTTTCTCATGGGTGGACGGTCACTACGCCCAGTGTCGCGAGACACTGGACGAGTGGCACTACACTCGTAAGCGTAGTGTCCTGTCTTTTGACATCTGTTGCATCTCTGCAACTTCTTGTAGCCTGTAGAGCGAGCCTTCTCGCTCTCTACATAACAGAGTTCCATCGGCTCTGGACCTCCGTTGTCATATCGTCTCGGTTGACGATATGATGTCGAGCTGGCGCGAGCCTGTCTCAGACTGATGTCTTCCTAGTCCGCAATGGACATGGCTTGTTCTAGTGAATCTAGTTCAAGCCGGAACAGGTGAGTCTTGACGGGACCATCCGCAAGACCCTGCATGAACACCGAAACCAACGTGTGTTCATCCACCGGATTGGAACTTATACAACTCGTGAGATGTCGTATATGTTGGGCGTAAGCGTGCACATCACGCTTACCCTGCTTGAGCTTCAAGAGTTCGGTTCGAGCCCTAAACTCAGCTCTAGGCGGTTCAAAACGTTTGTGTGAGCCGCGACTTGAAGACTCCCAACGACCCAAACGCATATGGGTCGTGCAACTTGAGCCCCAGTGCCCAAGTCTTGGCACGTCCTGCCAGATTTGACTGGGCAAATGCAACTTGCATATCCCCGTCGTCGATGCGATGCGCCCTTATGGCGTCATCCAATTCGACGAACCATCTCAAGAGTCCTCTTCGACCCCCCTATACTTTGAGATGTCAATCTTCAAAGTCTCGGGTAAACGCGAGTGCATCGACCCACCAGCAGCAGCCTGCTGCTGTCTCAACAGTTCAAACTGTTGAGCACCCTGTTCTCTCAACAACTCTGCTTGTTGAGAACCTTGTTGGTGAAGCAAGGCTACTTTCTCGCGTTCTGCGTCAAGTTCATTTTGAATGAACTTGGCGATAGTAGCATGTTGGGCATCTCTATTGAGAGCCTCTAGCATGACGCTAACAGCATGGATGCCTATGGTCGAACCCATTCGTTCAACCGCATCCCATTCGACATCGCTCAAATGGGAGTAGCCGTCACGCGTAGCGTGAAAGCTTTGGTCATCTTCATCATCCAACATATTCATGTTGGATGTGAACGCGGTCCTTGGACGGACTACTAAGTGCTACCAGGTGTAACGGGGCACCCTGAAGCTTGTACTGGTGACAGTACAAGCTACTTATTCTGATGACAGAATAAGGCGGTGCCTCGTAACTTCACGTACACTCGTACGTGCAGAGGAATACGGTAAGAAGAAGCGAGTACTTGGTTAAAGTAAAAAGTAGAACTGTGTTTATAATAGTTAATGTCTGCAATAAATCACTATTTATCTTCATCTAACAATGTCTAAATACAAATGTGCATATCAACTATCTACTCACCACTCATTGCGTGCGTCTGTCGTGGCGCGTCTTCGTTGGTTGATATAATGGCCTATATCAACCAATTAGGAACTACTCGTAAGTGCTACAGAATATTTGTCCTTATGACAATATTCTGAGAATATAACTCTTATAGTTATATTCTATTAACAATTTCTTATAAATTGTTATGTAACGATTCACCCCGTTACAGTTGCTGTCGCCAACACTTATCGTGATACTGATCACGCCAGGTAAATGCTAACCACATATATTGCTGTAGTAGCCGATGATGATGCCAGGTCCATAGGAAGACGCAAGATCATGAGAGGAAACAATGAATGTCTGTGGTAGTGGTTAACACGTCAATATATTTCTCTTTTCACAACAATCATCACAGTACGCAAGTACTAGTACAACCAGCAGCGAAGAGTCGACTGCTGAGCTGGAGAACTCCAGCGCGCATAAAGCTAGAGAGCGGAAGCATCGATTAAGTACTTCAATTTTTACAAAATTAAAAGGGCAAGGTTCTACTTTAATGTTAATCGGAGAAAAGCCTTTGCTTATAAGCGTCCAGCATTTGCTCATGTGTTCATATTCACCCTCGATTGAATTTAAAAAAAAATCTCTAGCATCCTAAGTCACTCTTTGGCAAGGTCACTATTGCACCACAGTAGTGACCTAGCCAAAGAGTAACTTCGAAAATACCAATGTACGTAGGAGGGGGGACAGGATAGATCGCATTTAGGACGGGTAAGGTACTCCTATCGGCGTTATTGACAGACAGACAGGCACACACAGATACGTACAATTTAAAAATTTGGCATTCAACCTTGCGCACAGTCACTATTAACTTCACCCTTCATGCTCGCAATAAAATCTATTTTTGTTACAAAAGATGTGGTGAGTGATGGCTAACGTTTGTGTGAGTGATCTGTATTGCCTCCTTTAGAGACTCTGATGTATAATCTTGTGTGATCTCATTGTCAATCGTATGGCACATTGTGTTTTATGCCTTTTTTGTAACGGGAAATTGGTCACGATACCGGCTTGGCTGACTACCTTTAGCGATACAATGGCTTCTTGTCAACACATCAAAAGTCGCGCAAATAATAGGTAAAATCAGCTTCTTACAAAGAAAGCATCCTTTGCGTCCAAGTAAAGACCCAGCCACGCCGCGATGTAGCGTCTGAACGTGCTTGTGACGGGGTAAATCTATTACATGTGATTAACTTTGATACTTGTTACGGAGAATATTGTGATCTAATTCTTTTAGGTATTACCATAAGGGGTAATATTCCAAGGCAATCACCGATTTGCTGATACAGGTCCTCAAATCAGCCAGATCCAGTGGTCCAAACCATGGATGGACACGCGCAATGAGTGATAAGCAAGACTTTAGCATACATTACCCCCGAGTTTTCGACGACCACCCACACCCCTTATACATTACGTTCTTCAATATACTTATCGTGTATGTGTTTGAGGATAATAAAATGTCATTTTGCTAAATACTGGCAGCCAATATCAACACAAAAATTGCATCCCAGGCGCAGTGCATCTACTTGTTCGTTCACTTTGCCGTCAGCCGATCCTATCCCTGCTCGATGAATCCACACCCGCTTTGGATCCTGAGAATGAGGCATAAAATACGTCTACTCTGAAGCGCCTCTCGGGCAACATGTATATGACCATCATCACGGTTACGCATCTCTTGTCCACTTTTTTATATGTAGACAATAATCTGGTACTTAAAGCAGGACGTGTTGTAGAAGAGGGCCGTTATGATGATTCGGTGCAGCAGGGTGGTCTGTTTTACGAGTTGGTCCACAAGGTGGAAATGACCATGAGAGGATGAAGCCGCTGTCCCCAAAAAGAAAACTGACATGGTTTACATGGCCAAGGGATGCGTTCGTGCCCCTGCGTCATCGAGAAATACGGACGCGATCAGCAATTCCGGGGACAACTCAATCCTTTGCATGAGATGCGCTGACATTGCTGCACTTTACCAAGACTCTGAGCTCGCGCGTGGCGCGTGAAGTTGATGACAACAATCATCAAGCCAGCACGACTTCAACATACCACTATGGTAACCTAAATTCTTACGTAGTCACAAGGAAATGAGGATAGGACAGCAGGATGCCGCTCAGGAAGCAATAGCGTGGAGGGTGGGTAGAGGTATCTAGCCATGACAACTGGTGTGTGGTAGCGTTACCATCCAGCGAGGAAAACGCAACGGGCACTTGGTACTGTAGCCAGCATCGTCTTGTTTTATGTCAATGATAAAGCAGGTAACGATGCCTTGATGTGGTGTTAATGTTTGTCTGTTTTCATGCGTATTAACTACATAATTGCTACAAGACTAACCTGTTCCAGAATCAATCGCAATATCTTCTCATTCGACCGAGCCATTACTCGGTCAGATGAAGTAGCTGAAATATAGATTGCCACACGTTGCTGACTTAAAGACATACATAGTATGTTCAGATTTACTTTTTAACAATTGTAAATGAGATTGTAAATTACTTCTGAGACCGAGACTTTAATCCAGTCAATCAGAAGGCATAAATCGGGTAAATTACAATGCTAAATATTGGGATAGCTAAATTCACATCCCTTTTCCTTAAATTTACACCCTTCCTTTAAAATTTTTATACATACAAGGTACGCAATTGCCGTTGGACAAAGACGAGTACTTTCTCTACCACTTGGCTACGGGCGACATCTTGCGCGCTGCTGTATATATGATATCGATTGCAGGAAAGCCTGTCTCACTAAATTGTGATCGAGGTGTGGTCTAGCTCCTCCAGTAGCCAGTGTCATATTTCTGACAGTATCGGCCTGCTCGCTATTTAGCTTTCAATGCTTCGAATGACCAGGCGGATGGAGTGACGGCTCGTGATTGTGGCATCCATTCATCACGTTTAACTTCCAATTAACCCTTTTTTTGAAAAAAACATCTGCTTAAAAAGAACGGGCAACTAATTCGGCGTGAGCTGTTCTGGCGTTGGTGCTCTTTCCCAACCTTTGGTACGCTTACGGCACCTCGATCACATTTAAGGTAGACACGCTTTCCTGCAATCGGACTTTTAATCGTAACAGCATAGCCTCGGCCACGTGCGGACGTCTGCACAGTATTCATACGTTGCTCCCGACTGGCATACTCGACCTCGGGAGGAGGAAGCATCTTATTGTGTGGTGCCCTATCAGTAAACGCTGGAGGAGCTAGACCACAGGCGTGAGTAGTATCTTAGGTATTTCTTGCGTACTACTTGCCAATTACTTGCATGGATCATCGAGTAATACCGTTGTCAAAAAACAATTTTTAAAATGATTATTGATTTTATATATAAGATTTTGAAGGAAGGTGGTGAATCTAAGGAAAAAAGGTGTGAATATAGCAATTCCTTATATCTTTGACATTGCAATAACAATTTTAAAAGATCACATCCAAAGAAAATATTTAGAAAACAAACTTTAATTAAATACCTTAAGAGTGAGGATAAAAATTAAGGCATATACTGTATGGGTGGCAAAATTAAGGCCTGCATTGATTGTTACTCCGAGCCAAAATTTGGTCCTTTCGAAATTTTGAGTACAATCAAGCACATAAAAATATTAACAGTGATTTTTCTAGTGGCATGGCACATCTCAGCTGCTTTCCCGTGATGGTCAAGATTGCCAGGAAAAATCCGTTTACTTCCATTTTCTACAGGCATCTTCCAGCTTCTAAATTACAAGATAGAAGAGCACACTCTGGAACTCGCCCTTTAATAGAAGTGATCCAGTCCGGAGAACTAAATTAAGTTGCAAAACACTACAACAGCAGCAGTCACTGAAGAACGTGTACAATGCTGTAATTGTTGGTTTTAACCCTGTTCAAAAGTCTGGGGTGACGCGTTCGGCCTTTGCGAATGAGCAGCTATCAGTGCTTGCTTATGTGATCATGCTCACCCATGGTCAATTTTAAGCCAATCACATACGTGTGTCACTATAGTGACCTATCAAAAGAGTGACTTTGGATTCAAATTGCCTATAAGGTGGACAGGCTCTATCGCACTTAGAACGGATCAGATACGTTTAATTGCGTTTTTCACGGACAGACAGACACACTCCTTTACACGCACTAACAGATAAGTACGATTTAAAAGATCGGCATTCGACCTTGCGCACACTCACTAATAGCTTCACCCTTCGGGCTCGCAATGATGTATTTCGGACCGGTGTTAAAAAATGTTTTCTTTTGTATGCGACCGATGCCATCAACGTAGAAATGAGCGAATTTACAAAAGGAAGAATGTATGTGCAAAGAGCACATAAAAACCCAGCGAGGGTTATGAGTAAAAAGGGTGGTTTAGTAATGTTATGGCTGGACTGTAATCGACTCTTCTTTTCGAGATAATGGACGGAATTATCTCGGCAAGCTCTGTTATAAGCAATTTGTAGCACAGCTTATAAAGCTTTACGTTTGCGTCTTAGATTGCCGAGCTTATGCCAATGAAGTAGGACTTTGTCTGTGTCCGTTAACGTGCGGTCAGAATATTAGTTTCTAGATAATGGAAATATTTATTGACAGGGGGCAACTGCTCATGCACACGTTTATCATACACAGTATCTGCTGGTTGAATACCCTCGTGTCACATCTTGCAAAAGTCGAAACGATATCACCTAATGCTGCAAAAACTAAAAATTATAGCAAGTGTACTTGTCTGGCACCATGACAGCGCTGTGCAGAATGGTTGTGGTGTTTAATGGCTGGACAGCTCAACTGCGAGACGATTTACCATTTTCGAAGGTTTGCATACGTCGTTCCTCGTTGATCTTGCTCCAAAACATGTCTCAAGGATATCCAGATAACGCTCATAAGAGCATTTCAGCCAAGATCGATACCTTTTTGTGCTGACGACACCACCGATCCAGGCGTGCTTGCTCGAAATTGGGCGTCGTCACGCACTCGATTGCTACTGTCTTATCTCACAAGCTAAGCAGTAACAAAATTGGAAGCAGAATTAGATAACGTCAGAAAAGGAATGTAACTCCGTACCACTTGCTTTGCCTACCGATTTACAACTGCATTTCAGGTGGATCGTCCTCTTGCTTTTTAGATTATTTACGATTGTGCACACGTGTCATTCAAATAGTTTACGACCATTCTCGTCCTGCTTTAAGGTGACGCAAGAGTTAAAAAGTGCCGGGACCTGCCCCATCGTAGCTATATTTGATCTTTACGTCATCGTTGCAAACTAACCCGCCTTACACGTTGATGTCGTCCACGTTGGCAACCTCAATCAGTGAAGCGTACTCGTTGAGAATAGGAGCAATCTCTTCATCAATGAACTCCACTACCTGCTGCGGACAGCGGCCAATGAAAAGCGACGGGTCGAGCAGCTCGTCCATGTGATCGTGCACAACCTTGAACAAGGGATCGCCAGCGATGCGCTCCAGGAGGTCATTGGCGGCACCCTCTACTTTCACACGTTTGCCAGCCTCCATCGAATGCGCGCGGATGGCCTCGTGAAGCTCCTGCCGGTCACCACCGGCCTTCACACAAGCCATCAAAATATTCTCCGTGGCCATGAACGGCAGCTCAGCCTTGATGTGCGCCTTGATGACATTGGGCCACACCTGCAGGCCATCCGACACGTTGATGATCAAATTTAAGATGACGTCTGTTGCCAGGAAGGCTTCTGGCAACACCATGCGGCTGTCGGAACATCAACATAAATGACCGTTAGCAGCACACATTCCAGACTACCACTGAGAGTAAAACGTACCGGTTCGCCGAGTCATCAAGCGTGCGCTCAAACCACTGGGCAGCGTGGGTCTGCGCGCCATTGTCCGTTAGCGAAATGACGTAGCGCGCGAGGCTACAGATACGCTCCGAGCGCATCGGATTGCGCTTGTACGCCATGGCCGATGAGCCAATTTGGCTCTTCTCAAACGGCTCCTCGATCTCCTTCATATTAGCCAGCAGACGGATGTCACCGGCCATTTTGTATGCTGACTGGGCAATGCCCGACATGATCGACAGCACAAAGTAGTCAATCTTGCGCGTGTACGTCTGACCCGACACGGGGATGACCTTCTTGAAACCCATCTTCTCGGCCACCAGCTCGTTCAGCTTCTTGACCTATATTGCACAAAGAAATGAGCACAACAAGTTAGCCTCCACTTCCACCATCGAAAACACGCCAACGCAGTAGCTCTCTCTCCATCTCACTTTATCGTGACTGCCTTCAAATAAGTCAAGAAAGCTAGCCTGGGTGCCGGTCGTGCCCTTCACCCCACGTAGAGGCAAACTCTTAATCTGCTCACTGAGGAGCTGGAAATCAAGCCACAAGTCTTGTAGCCAAAGCGACGATCTTTTGCCGACGGTCACAAGCTGCGCCGGCTGGAAGTGCGTGAAGCCCATAGTGGCCATATCCTTGTACTGAAGGCTGAAGTCCGCCAGCACTTTCATGGCTTTGACCATCTTGCGCTGAATGAGTTGTAGACCCTGCTTAATCTGGATAATATCGGCATTGTCCCCGACGTAGCAACTCGTCGCACCCAGATGGATGATAGGCATAGCCACAGGTGCCACCTTGCCAAAAGCATGTACGTGGGCCATGACGTCATGGCGAAACTTCTTTTCCATCTCGGCCGCGTACTCATAGTCAATGTCCGTCAGATGCGCTTTCATGGCGTCCAGCTGCTCCTGAGTAATGGCGAGTCCCAGTTTCTTCTCCGACGCAGCCAGCGCCAGCCACAGTTCACGCCACGTCGAGAACTTGCGGTCGGGTGACCAGATCTCACTCATCTCTTTGGTGGCATAGCGGCTCACTAGAGGATGCTCATACCGGTTGTGCTCGGCCATTGGTGCAAGGAAGCGTTGATGGCCAGTCAGCAAAATAGACTTTTTCGAATTCAGAATATGTGATTTGCCATCCTAAGTATACGTTGGTACAAATTTGTCAACATTTACAAAGCCAGACGGTGAGCGCTGAAGCTAATTTTTGTAGCAGCAATCCATGCTCTGATAAGAGTTCCCCCAGTACCTTATGTAATCATTGTTCACCCTATCTAATACAGTAAACTTTCCCATATTTAATAAGGCTAAGACCACCAGAATATTACTTAAATAAGGAAATAGTGAATAGTAGAAGTAGGGGATAGGGTTGAAGCGAAGGGTGCTTCTAACGGGGTTACACGGTGGTTATTCAGCTAATGATGTTGTGGGTCCACGCCAAGTAAAGATCGGTGGATATGTGTGGTACAGTATTGGTACCACGGACGCAGTAATACCGCACCCTATCGGGTAGGGACAAGGGGTTAGACTTCTGTCATACAGTGCAAGTCACTTAGAATGAGCAACACCTACAAAATGTGGCCAAATTTTGCCCTAAAATATTTGTAAGCAAAAATGAGGAGTTTTCATTTTCGGCAGGTGAACGATCACGTGACTCTACCTGACTGTGATACCTCAAATAAGTACTTTTGATAACTTTGTTTACTTCGTTTAAAAGTATGAGGTTTCTGTTCATTGAATGGTTGTGTAATACTAATACACGATTAATGTATGACACTGAAACGTGAGGACTGCAGTCTGCATGTGGGCATAAGCGTGCGTCGACAACGCTTTCAGCCACCGACCGACCACAACGCTTTAATGCCTCCTGCTAATAAGCGCGGTTAGCATCTCAAGGATGCACGTGAAGCAAAACGTCTGCAAGCTCTGGCAAGCGTCCCCTCTGAAATGGAACAGTCAGCCTTCAGCAGCGGCTCTGAAACTGAAGACGACACGTTCAGTAACCTCGAACAGGCTGAGGAACTTCAAGTTAGTGACAGCGAAGAAGTCACTAAAAATCTTGCAGCCGAAGTCACTCTGCGCTTACAGAACCTCGCGGTAAAGAAAGGACAGCCGTCAAATTACTTGGGCAACTCGGGCAGAACGCGGCGTGGGTAGAAGCTGTGGCAGAAGCAGGCAACTACAGGAGCACAGCCGTTGACCAATAATTGGCAACCTAATCAGATCGAGACCGTTGAGCGACAGAAGAACGCTAAAAAGGAAGCGGAAGCAGACACCCTGTGGAAGAAGTTGGCACTTCTGCTGCCTGGGAAGATGCTGCCGCGCTACAAAGGGCCGTCGATAAGTAAATGGTGGACAGCCAAAGACCTGGTAATGCAAGTAAGAGGTTGGGCAATACCCATCTTTAAACGCCAATTTCCAGGAGCACAGGCAATTTTCGCATTCGACAATGCTACAAGTCATGCCGTTTTTGCGCCTGACGCCCTAATTAATTTAAGATGATTTTTTTTCACATGGGTGAAAGCAGCCAAAAATGCGGTAAGTTTCACATCTAATTTGTCGTTTCATTCAATTAAATGCGGTAAGTTTCCCATCTAGTTTGTCGTTCCATTCAGTCGATATTTAGCTATCGCACTGTGTGATAACTCAATTATGTGCTGCACAGGTCAACAACGTTTGGTGAAGACGGGTAGATCGTATTTGTTTGCTTCCCGCAGGACCACCCTGATCTTGCTTTTAAAGGACAGCCAAAAGGACTGAAAATCGTGCTACGATTACGTGGTTATGGGGAGACGGGTTGCGACTTGAGTGCACAGATGAGTGTGAGAACTCGAGGATGTACTGCGCCCGTTCCATCATGGCTAAACAACGTGACTTTGTTGGTCAGGTCGGAATGCTTGAGGATCTCATCTTTGGAAAGTCCATAAGATCATCTTTTACCCAAAAGTTCATCTAAAACTCAACTATATCGAAAATCTTTGGGGTGCGGCAAAGCGGTATGCCACGACGCATTACGACCACACGTGGTATGGTCAACAAGAACCGCTGCCTAAAGCCCTGGACTTCGTCAGCATAACAGAGCTCCGACGGTGTAACGGGGCACCCTGAAGCTTGTACTGGTGACAGTACAAGCTACTTATTCTGTCATCAGAATAAGGCGGTGCCTCGTAACTTCACGTACACTCGTACGTGCAGAGGAAGACGGTAAGAAGAAGCGAGTACTTGGTTAAAGTAAAAAGTAGAACTGTATTTATAATAGTTAATGTCTGCAATAAATCACTATTTATCTTCATCTAACAATGTCTAAATACAAATGTGTAAATCAGTTATCTGCTCACCACTCATTGCGTGCGTCTGTCGTGGCGCGTCTTCGTTGGTTGATATAATGGCCTATATCAACCAATTAGGAACTACTCGTAAGTGCTACAGAATATTTGTCCTTATGACAATATTCTGAGAATATAACTCTTATAGTTATATTCTATTAACAATTTCTTATAAATTGTTATGTAACGATTCACCCCGTTACATCACCCCCTTAACCATCAGTCACTTTAGTGACTGATTGACTAAATGGATACTCGTCCCAAATCATTTGGGACAGGGTTTGCACTTGTTGGTCCGAGTCCACTTTCCGACATCTCATCGCATGGTTAACAAGCCCATGCGATGCGCGAGGCCGCCGAGAGCGCGTCCGCACGTCTCTGTGCGGACGCCGAAGCAGAAACCACAGCAACTGATGTCTCATCGGTTGCTGAAGCGACTCAGCCTGTGTCACTTGGTGATGAAGGCGCTGGTCATGAAGACACTCGTGTCTTCACAGAGTACGAGCTCGGTGTCTCATACTCTCCTGATACGGATGACGGATCCGTATCGACGGCGATTGAATCTAAGCCGCCTGCCAAGCGTGGCATGGACGATGCTTTGCGTCGCAGCATCTTTGGTTCATCTGATGAATCAGATGAACCATCGCCGAAGCGAAGGCGCTCGAGGTCGCGAGACTCGGGCGCTAATAGTGGTGTCGGTTCTCCTATGGACACCACTTCACAGCGAGGTGCCAGTACTTCTGTCGGCACGTCGCAGGAAGAGCGGGACTGCAATGTCTTGCGTCTCGCTCCCGAGGAGAAGGCGTGGATGCCTCCAAAATCAGTCATGGATCACTTGTCGGCGACGACGAGTGATCGTTATCGAACACGATTGTTCGATTCGTTAAGGATCCATCACCTTGACCCCAGTGCGAAAAACTATCGCGCTGAACATGAATTCTTCATCGATGCTTTCTTTAAACATCGATGGTACAGTGGGAATCACAAACGTGATGGTCCCTCACTACTTCAGGCGTGGAACGCCTACATCCATAATCTCGAGGATGTAGGTCGTGACGTTTGGAACGACAAACTTATCAAAGCTCGTGATAAGTTTGAAAAGCGAACCCCGACAGGTGCACGCTATAAGCTGCATCGTCTGTCAAGGGAGAAAGGATTACCCTGCCTCTCTTGGGGAGACTCGTGCCCGTGTTGTGTGAACAACTCTGCACGAGCACCTAAGGAGGCTTACCTCCTTACCAGCCCGTGGTGGCGCGTACGTGTCTCTACTGAGATGTACGAAGGGATTGACAACCTGAAATCCCTTTACGACCGTGCCAGGAAGACTTTCTCCGGCGGTCCTTCTGCGGCACAGGATGTGCCGCGTCGTACTGCTCAACCAGACCCAGTACGTCGATCATCAGTTGGGAGCGGGGCTCCCAAGAATCCCAGGACGGGGGATAGCCGCGCCACCGGACGAGATAACTCGTCCGACGTCCGTTCACGTCGCGGTGGTTCAACAGCTGCTCTACTAGATAGCGCTGGCCACCGCGAGAGTCCTCTAATGGAGGTGGAGGAGGAGGAAAGACGCTCTCCACACGATCATGTGGATCGGTGTGTTCCCGAGAGCTTCTTTGATCGCGTAACGCAAGGGTTACGCGACGATCTCGAGCATGAGCGGAATAGGCGTCTCCAAATGGCGGACACTGCCTCGAAGCATCAAGCTGAGTTTGCCTTTGCTCAGCTTGAGAACGAGAGATCTCTGACATCTCTTCGTGACGAGCTAAGGGTAGCTCGTGGGATTGCTGATCGGTCTCGGGCTGAGATAGCTGCTCTTCAGACCCTTGTTGATGCCCACCATCGGGAGCACAAGGCTCTCTGCGAGATGCTTGAGCGCAAGGGCGTTCTTCATCGGAAGAAGCAGCGTACTGATGGTACGGCTTAAGCCGACCAACGTAAAACGTGGGATGCGTTCGCATCTTACGTGGAAATTCGATCGTGTATGCATTGCCTAGGCGGTGCAATACACGAAAAGGGCCGATGTACTTGGGTAGTAGTTTACTGCTACCCAAGTTAGTCACTACATGCTTTGGTAGATTAACCGTAGACAGTAGGACTAAGTCACCTTTATTAAATAAAAGAGTGTTTGCCCTTCCATTCTTATCAGCGTTTTGCTTTTGCTTATCCACCGCTTCGGCGATGGAGTCTTGCACAAAACGGACTACCGTTTCACGAGCCAGTATGAACTCATCTGATGACTCGTTAGCTTCAGTGCGCTGTGAGCGCACTGCAGCAACAACCTTTTTCAGTGAGGGTCCACTTTATCATTGTCTTCAGTGAGGGCTTCCGCACTCTCACTGGCATTATCTTCTTCGATATCGATGTTATCGATATCGGCATCAAACGCAATGACTTCTTCGTCAGAGCGTGATGAGCGTGAACCAAATCGGTTTTTGCTCGCGCGAGTCCCTCCCCCCTTAAACTAGAGTCACACCCTAGTAAGGTGGGTACGCGCAAGCCATTCACGTAAAACGGTGTATGTGTCGTGGACGCATGCACCGAGTTGTTGATGGCAAACTCTACCATTGGCAAAACTCACTCCAACTCTTAAAGGAGTGTACGTATCCTCGAAGTATCTCTTCAAGGACACGATTGGCACGTTCCGTCTGACCATCTGACTCTGGATGATCAGATGTCGACATCTTCAAGCGCGTTCCGAGTAATTTGAACACGGAACGCCAGAAATCAGCAGTGAATCGTGGATCTCTGTCTGATACGAGTTCACGGGGCAACGCATGAAGTCGGAAGATGGTGTCAATAAAGACACAAGCACAGCCACTTGCCGTGGTTGTCTCTGGTACAGCCACAAGGTGTACCATTTTGCTGAATCTGTCAACAAATACGAGAATACCCGTATTCCCGCGTGCGTCTTTGGGTAACCCGAAGACGAAATTCATTGAGATGGATTCCCAGCACTCAGCCCGAACTGGTTGAGGCTGTAATGGTGCACGCAGTGAAGGACTTGACTTCACTCGTTGACAGACTACGCATGCGCGAACATACTTTCGCACAAACTGATACTGGCGGGGCCATTAAAAGTCTCGACTTACCGTGAGATATGTTTTCTCTTGGCCACGATGTCCTCCTATAGGAGCATCGTGCTACTCGAACATGATCCGCAAACGCAGACCTGTATCATCTGGAATGACAACACGTGGTGTGTCACCAGAAACGGCTGTATAATACAGCAAACCGTTACGAGTAGTGTATCGATCTGATGCAGATCGATACGCAGACGACAATCGTTCCACGATTCCCGAGATGGTTGAGAGAGATGTGTCAACAACTTCACTGGCATCACAGACCACATGAAATGGCCTGTCCTGATCGGCTATTGCTAGGACTGGGGATTGTATCAAGCTCTGCTTGATACCCTCAAAGGAGCGTTGACATTCAGCGTTCCATAACCACCTCTCGTTCTTTTTCAACAAACGAGAGAGGTGCACAGTCATCTCGGCGTAATTGCGTGAATACTTATTCAAATACGCGGCTAGCCCAAGGAATTTTCGAAGACCTTTGACATCAACCGGCACAGGCCAGCCGGTGATCGCCTTGATCTTTTCGGGATCAGGACGTACACCGTTCTTACCAACGATGCACCCAAGAAGTGGTATTTCGCTTGCTGCAAATATACACTTCTTGAGGTTAGCATACAATTGATGCTTTCGCATGATTGTAAGAACTTGTCGGACGTGGTACCTGTGAACCTCAACGTCCGACTTTCCATCCATAGCTCGACTATGGATGAATACGTCATCGAAATAACTCGGCGCGAATTCTCGTACTGGTCTCAACAGATGTGATACACATCTGTTGAACGTGGCAGGGGCATTACTGAGCCCTTGTGGCATAACTAGCCATTCCCAGAGCATGCCGCTAGGCGTGCTAACTGCGGTATAGGGTATATCCCGTTCCCGCATGAGGATTTGATAGAAGCCATCCATCAAATCCATGGACGAAAAGATGGTACTCTTTGACATACCATCATTGATTACGTCCTTCCTCGGTATCGGCGTCCGAGCCGGTACCGTTGCAGCGTTCAATTTGTTGAACGCGTGCACTATCCGCCACCCTCCTGTTGCTTTTCGCACACAGAAGGTCGGAGAGCTATGTGGGGAAGTTGATTCCCTCACATGGCCCGCAGCTAAACGATCGGCAAAGAACTTGTCAATCGCAAGTACTTGCTCACGAGGCAGTGGCCACTGCTTCATGACACAGTACTTCGAGCCTGGTTTAAGCTCGACCTCGTGTCGAATACCTTTATCCTTCGGTAATTCGCACGGAACAGTTTCAGGGAATACATCCTTGAATTCAACCAAATCTTCATAGAGAGGATTTTTCTTGAGCGATTCCCACGATTGGGAGTCATATCGCTCAATTCGTGTCTTGTCATCGAGGACACTCTCGTCCATAGATGAACTACTGAGAACTCTCTCGTTCTCAGTAAACACTGTTGCTGACCTTATGTCGGATACACACTCGTCGTCAGCGACGAGTATGCAGATCTGCTTGACTTTGCCACTACGCAGATCACGCAAGAACCTTTTATGTTCGAGCGTTGGCAACTGAGTGATCTCCGAAGTTAACTTCGGAGGCGCAATCAGATCAAGTGTATAAGCGCCTACACTTGATCCGTTATTGACTATGACATTCAATGTCTCTGTCATTTCCTGGGGACTTATTCCCTCAGGCTTCGAAGGACTTATTCCTTCGTCTTCCCGGGGACTTATTCCCGCGGGTTTCGGGGAACTTATTTCCGCCGTATTTGTAATATCGGGACTTATTCCCTTTACTTCCTCTAGCTGGGGTTGCGCAACCACAGCGAGATCCTCTACGAAAGACTCTCCAGTCGATCTAGGATTATCGTTTCGCTTAACCTGAGCGATCGATTGTTTCTCTTCTGGATATTCCCCGCTAGGGATACATCTTTGTCCCAGTCCACCCGACTTATTCGAGTGGTGGACCTTCGGCGCAGCCTGTGTTTCCTCACAGCCGCCGGAACTTTGCTCCGAAGTGTAACCGTTTGGTACACTAAGGTTTTGTGCAGTCGTACTAACGACCATACCACAAGTGAGGCCATCGCACTCACTCGTAGTACATCCACACGCTTGTGGAAGCTCCAAAACGTTCATCAGATGGCCATCTGATGAACAAGCGGCAGGCATCGTTACTGTCCGATGTTGCCAGTTTACCCGTGGTTCGTACCTTCTGAGCCACGGTATTCCAAGGATGACATCAAATTTGTCATCCAAATCCAATACGATAAAGTCATCGTCATATTGGGTATCTTCTAGCGTATAGTGGATCTTCACTATACGCTTCATGACGGTTACGGATGCGCCTGTCGCAAGACGTACCGTCATCCTCGTAGGAGGTGTGTCACATTCACTGAACTTAAAGTGACCATCTTCTAGCGATTGGCGTCGCACAAAATTGTTGGACGCCCCACAATCGACTAGAGCTCGAAGGGACAACTTATTCGTCACTTAGAGTTTCAAGGTAATGAGTGAGACCTCATTACCTAGAGCAGCAACGCACAACGTTTGTGTGTTGGGAGCAACCTTCATCAAGAGGCCTACAAATTCTCTCGACGTTGCTAGACCAGTAGGGTGCTCCGCGCCTACTGATCCTGTCCGTTTTTTGACGGTCCATCCCGTTGTTGCGTCTTTGCACCAACTGCGGACCCTCGTCCCTGCCCCTTTCTCATGGGTGGACGGTCACTACGCCCAGTGTCGCGAGACACTGGACGAGTGGCACTACACTCGTAAGCGTAGTGTCCTGTCTTTTGACATCTGTTGCATCTCTGCAACTTCTTGTAGCCTGTAGAGCGAGCCTTCTCGCTCTCTACATAACAGAGTTCCATCGGCTCTGGACCTCCGTTGTCATATCGTCTCGGTTGACGATATGATGTCGAGCTGGCGCGAGCCTGTCTCAGACTGATGTCTTCCTAGTCCGCAATGGACATGGCTTGTTCTAGTGGATCTAGTTCAAGCCGGAACAGGTGAGTCTTGACGGGACCATCCGCAAGACCCTGCATGAACACCGAAACCAACGTGTGTTCATCCACCGGATTGGAACTTATACAACTCGTGAGATGTCGTATATGTTGAGCGTAAGCGTGCACATCACGCTTACCCTGCTTGAGCTTCAAGAGTTCGGTTCGAGCCCTAAACTCAGCTCTAGGCGGTTCAAAACGTTTGTCTGAGCCGCGACTTGAAGACTCCCAACGACCCAAACGCCTATGGGTCGTGCAACTTGAGCCCCAGTGCCCAAGTCTTGGCACGTCCTGCCAGATTTGACTGGGCAAATGCAACTTGCATATCCACGTCGTCGATGCGACGCGCCCTTATGGCGTCATCCAATTCGACGAACCATCTCAAGAGGGAGTCTTCTTCTACCCCCCTATACTTGGAGATGTCAATCTTCAAGGTTTCGGGTCGACGCGAGTGCATCGACCCACCAGCAGCAGCCTGCTGCTGTCTCAACAGTTCAAACTGTTGAGCACCCTGTTCTCTCAACAACTCTGCTTGTTGAGAACCTTGTTGGTGAAGCAAGGCTACTTTCTCGCGTTCTGCGTCAAGTTCATTTTGAATGAACTTGGCGATAGTAGCATGTTGGGCATCTCTATTGAGAGCCTCTAGCATGACGCTAACAGCATGGATGCCCATGGTCGAACCCATTCGTTCAACCGCATCCCATTCGACATCGCTCAAATGGGAGTAGCCGTCACGCGTAGCGTGAAAGCTTTGGTCATCTTCATCATCCAACATATTCATGTTGGATGTGAACGCGGTCCTTGGACGGACTACGAAGTGCTACCAGATGTAACGGGGCACCCTGAAGCTTGTACTGGTGACAGTACAAGCTACTTATTCTGATGACAGAATAAGGCGGTGCCTCGTAACTTCACGTACACTCGTACGTGCAGAGGAAGACGGTAAGAAGAAGCGAGTACTTGGTTAAAGTAAAAAGTAGAACTGTATTTATAATAGTTAATGTCTGCAATAAATCACTATTTATCTTCATCTAACAATGTCTAAATACAAATGTGTAAATCAGTTATCTGCTCACCACTCATTGCGTGCGTCTGTCGTGGCGCGTCTTCGTTGGTTGATATAATGGCCTATATCAACCAATTAGGAACTACTCGTAAGTGCTACAGAATATTTGTCCTTATGACAATATTCTGAGAATATAACTCTTATAGTTATATTCTATTAACAATTTCTTATAAATTGTTATGTAACGATTCACCCCGTTACAGACGGCATGTTCGTAAAGCGCAGCGGTACATGGATGCAAACCAGAAATGTCTCACGGGAACAGCTGCATAATACGCCGTCAAAAAATACCGTTCATACCGGCGCATACCGGCCAAGTGTGACGGGGTAGCCCATTACATGAAATTGACACCAAACGGTGTCAATTGGAATATTGTCTAGCATGGCAATATTCTACCAATACTACTCGAGATGGACAATATTGGAGGAATATTATCACCTTTAGATATTATTCATGCGCTGCTCCAAGATTGGTTGACATAAGACATATCAACCATAGATTGCCACCAATCCCTGCTAGACGCCCGCAATGAGTGGTCAGCAGGTTGTCGTCATACGACGGCGTATTTTAATATAGTTAGATAATAATTAAAGTGATATTGATAGCTTAGCTATATTAAATACAGTTCTCTTTTTACCCTTACTTAAACGAGTCTTTTAAATTAGATTAGCTTCCTCTGTACGTACTATTATACGTGAAGTTTCGCAACACCCCAAACAAAGGGTGCCTTGTTACACTTAAGGCTAAAGCAAGGCAAGCTTGACGTGCACGCTTACGCACAGCACCTGCGCTACCTTGCGAGTAGGATTACGGAAAACCCTGCTGATGATCACACGCTCATCAACGTGTTCATTAATGGCCTTGTGGATGGGCCGGTGAAGACCTACATGTTCCGAGAACTTCCATACGCTGGAAAAGACGATAGCGTATGCGGAACAAGAAGACGTCAGCCTGAGACAGTCTCAGGCTAACTCGTCCAACTAGCGTACGACAAGACGACAGGAAACAGGAAGTCCCGAACCAATGGACATCTGTTACATCGAGAGCAAGAACTCTCGCCATCTGAGTCACAAGCGAACGGCAAGATGCCATCGCTGTCAGAATATTGTACACTACGCACATGGATGTAGTTTCCCGAGCACTGCAATACGTTCAAAGACAGGACGCGGTGACCACCGTTGGCCAAGGAAAGGTCCAAGGCGTGGGTCCGACCATGTCGCTGAACCGCGACAGCAAGTCGGACTGCCAAAAAAACGGGCAGGGTCAGTAGGGTCGGATCAACCTGCTGATCCAGCAACTTCAAGATTATTTGCAGGACTCTTGACGAAGATTGCTCCCAACACACAGTCTCTGTGTGTTAATACCCCTAGTGATGAGGAGTCTCTCATCACTTTTAAGATCGAAGTGACAAGCGAAATGTCACTTCGCGCCCTAGTTGACTGTGGGTCGTCGAGGTTTTTTATTCTACGCCAGTCGCTAGGGGATAGTAGGCTCAACTATGCTGATCGAGAGTTCCCTTTAGCGAGGAGGACGGTGTGCCTTGCTACAGGAGCATCCATAACAATGAACAATCGTGTAGTGGGAATCCACTACACGCTATGAGGAAAGCAGTACGATGATGACTTCATCGTACTGGATTTGGATGACAAATTGGACTTTGAAAAGACTAGCCATGGGTTATCTGGCAGCATGGATCCGTGAAGATGCCTGCTTTTTGTTCATCAGATGGCCATGTGATAAATGTCTTGGAGCGTCCACAAGCGTGTGGATGTACTACGAGTGAGTGCGATGGCCTCACTTGTGGTACGATCGTTAGTACGATTGCACAAGATCACAGTGTAGAAGGCCACTGCACTGTATAACCAGCTTCCGGCACCTGTGTAACGACACAGGCTGCGCCGAAGGTTCACCACTCGAAGAGATCGAGTAGGCATGAACACGAATGCACACCAAGAAGGGTGCATCCGAGAAGAGAGACTTGTGTTGTTCAGGATGAAAAACACGTTGAAGCGAGATCGACTATCAGAGAGTCCATCGAAGAGGACGTGAATGTAGTAGTGCACGTAACGAAAAAAGTTCCAGCGTTCCTGAGAGCAATAACTCCCGAGAGAGTTATGTTGAGGGTGTGGATCCCCAACCACCTGCGGATGTGTTTTGCCAGGAAATCATCGAGTCAGTGAATGTCTTGGTGAATAACAGATCAAGTGTAGGCGTTTATACACTTGATCTGATTACACCCCCGAAGTCAGCTTCGGAGGTAGTCAAGTTGCCAACGCTAGAATCTAAAAGATTCTTGCGAGATCTGCGTAGTGACAAGATCAAGCAGATTTGCGTACTCGTCACAGAGGACAAGAACGTCACCGATATTCGGTCGGCACAAGTGTTTGCTGAGCACGAACGAATTCCCAGTAGCTCATCTATGGACGAGAGTATCCTCCATTAGAACACCCGGATTGAGCGATACACGTCTCGATCTTGGGAATCTTTAGAGACAAATCCTTTGTATAAGGATTTGGTGGATTTCAGGGAGGTTTCTCGGAATCTGTGCTATGCGAGCTGCCCAATGGCAAAGGCACTCGGCAAGATATCGAACTGAAATCTGATTCGAAATACTGTGTCATGAAGCAGTGGCCACTGCCTCGTGAACAGGTAACAGCGATCGACAAATTCTTTGCCGATCGTTTAGCGGCTGGTCATGTGAGGTAATCAACTTCCCCACACAGCTCTCCGAACTTCTGTGTGCGAAAGGCCACAAAATGGTAGCGGATAGAGCACGCGTTCAACAAATGAACGCTGCAACGGTACCGGCTCAAACGCCGATCCCGTGAAAGAACGTCATCATAGATGGTATGTCAAAGAGTACCATCTTTTCGTCCATGGATTTGATGGATGGCTTCTATCAGATCCTTATGCGGGAACGGGGTATACCCTATACTGCAGTGAGCACTTCCATTGGTATGATCTGGGAGTGGCTAGTGATGACACAGGGGCTAAGTAACGCCCCCGCAACGTTTAACAGATGTGTTATAAATCTGTTTCGATCGGTGCGCGAATTCGCACCGAGTTAATTCGACTACGCCTTTGTCCATAGCCGGGCTAAAGATGGAAAGACGGACGTGGAGGTCTACGAATCCACATCCGGAAGGTTCTTACTCTAGTGCGAGAGCATGAGTTATTCGCGAACCTGAAGAAGTGCATATTTGCAGCGAACAAAAAACCACTTCTTGGCTGTATCGTGGGTAAAAACAGTATACGCCCTGATCCGGAAAAGATCAAGGCGGTTAGCGACTGGCCTGTTCCAGTCGACGTCAAGGGTTTTCGAAAGTTCCTTGGCTTGGCAGCGTATTTGCACAAATACTCGCGCAACTATGCCGAGATGACTGTACATCTCTCTCGTCCATTAAAGAAAAACGAGAGGTAATCATGGAGCGCTAAGTGTCAGCACTATTTTGAAAGCTTTAAGAAAAGCTTGGTGCAATCGCCTGTGTCGGCAATTGCAAATCAGGATAGGCCATTTCATGTGGTCTGTGACGCCAGCGATTTTTCAGTCGGCTGCGCGTTAATGCAGTACGACTCAGACGGCGTTGAGCGCGTCGTCTGTTATCATTCGCGTCAGCTACAAGCAGCTGAGCGAAATTATTTGGTGCACGACAAGGGTCTCCTTGATATGAAATATGCACTGGCCAAGTTTCGGGTATATCTCTTATGAGATAGGCCCTTCATCGTGTATACCTACCCTGCGTCATTACGCACAGCCGTAAACAGTCCACACCTCTTGAACGAATGGTGAGGTGGCTGTCTTTCTTCGCGAAGTACAACTTCTCCGTCGAGTGTAAACCAGGACGACTTAATATCGTCGCTGATGCTCTTTCGCGTCGACCCGATTTTGAGCCGACTGCTCAACACAACAGTAGTGGTAATTCCAATGTAGCGACACTAACAGCGAGTGTTCCGTCGTCGACTCTGCTCGACGACGTGCGAAAAGCAAACGCAGAAGATGAGTCTCTTCTTCAATTAATTGATTACGTGCTTAATCCATGCAGTCAAGCTTTGAAAAGCTTGTCATCTCAATACCGCTCTTCAACCGAACGGTATCTGGTTCGTGATGGACTTCTATACTATACAGCAGTCAACAGCGACACACCTCGTGTCGTCGTTCCGGCTCATAATGATTTGCGATTGCGCATCATGTATGAGTGTCACGATGCCCCAACAAGTGGACATCGCAGTTGATAAATGACTTACCTTATGGTAAGTCGTGACTTCTACTGGCCCCGCCAGTAGGAGTTTGTGCGCAAGTACATTCGCGCTTGCGCAGTTTATCAACGGGTTCCGCCTAGTCCATCATTCCGCGCACCCTTGCAGCCTCTACCGATTCCGGCTGAGTGTTAGTAGTCCGTATCGATGGACTTCGTCTTCGGGTTTCTGAAAGACGCTTACAAGAATACGGGTATTCTTGCGCTTTCTGATCAGTTCAGCAAGATGGTACATCTTGTTGCTGTACCTGAATCAATTACAGCCCAGGGCTGTGCGAGTGTCTTCATCGATACTATCTTCCGACTTCACGGGTTACCTCGTAAACTCGTGTCCGATAGGGACCCCCGCTTCATGGCATAATTCTGGGAATTCGTGTTCCGTTCACTTGAAGCACGCTTGTAGATGTCGACTTCTGACCATCCCGAAACAGATGGTCAGACGGAACGCGTCAACCGCG